TATGCAAGGCGGTCGTTTTGTAAAATGACATTATTTTAGTGTGAAATTCTTTTTAGGGTCAAAAACTGAAAAAAAAGATTACACAATTAAAACATATATTATGCACCCTTTTTTAATAATAAAATTAAATATAACATATTATGTTATCGAAACTATTTTTTCCTTAAGTAGCTAGAATCGTCGATAAGTGGTTTAATAAATGGATTTTATCTACATATATATTGCCTTTCTCTGCTACCCTGGTACACACGATAAAGAATTATTTTTATTTTCCCAATAAAATCTTTTTTCGGCGGAAAATACTAAAATTGCTTTTTAATTTTTTTATAAAATAGTAGTAATTAAAAACCTGATCTTGATCCGTATTATTGAAAGCTTTAAAGTAGGTCAGAAGTAACAAATTCATAAAAAATGTGTTAATAAAATACTTTTTCCGCTTTATTTTTGCAGAAATTTGTACAAAATGGAATATTATAAATTCTGACACAATATTAATTTCTTATCGTACATACATTTAAGTGGATATCAGGCGAATTTGAATCTTATTACATTCTTAATATCGCTTTAAATTGGATGATAATATGATGAAATGAAAATTCAGCTTGCTCGCTGCTTGAATACTGTATACACAATGTTTTAGAGTCGATAGGATAGCAAACATTTTACATAAATTAGACGGATATATTTTATTTTGTAAAATATATTTTTAGTTTACTTATATACAAAAGAAAAGAAGACTATTCGACAGATTTGTATATACTTTTATTTTTACTGTTTACGTTCATCTTAATTTTTATCGTGTATATTTTTGTTTGGACTGCCTTAACATAGTTTTTCAACTGTATTTATAAATAAACATCTATATGTACTGTAGATCCAAAATAAAAATTGGCACACAGACAGATTATAATGTAGTAGAATTATGTACCGATTGTCGCAGAGATATCGTGGGCGGGTGAATATTAAATTCATGAATGTTGAATCGTTATATTCTGAAAATAAATTTGACAATAAACAAATTTATAAAAACCAGTCCTTCTTGTTTGTCTTTAAATAAAATTTTATTGGATTGAATATTGTTAATTGTTCTGAATTTTTGTTGATTTATGATCCTTTTGAATATATTCAGATAATAAACTAATGTCAGATAAATTATCAACCAGATTATAAGGAAAAGTTATGAACAGTAAAATCTTACTGTCATTATAAAGTATGTATCTATTATCAAAGAAAAGTCTTCTCTAAGAAATAATAATAATAATAACAACTAAAAAACGGCTTTATTCCATTTAACAAACTCTTTATGTTTCCTCCACAGAATACTCAAGATAGTTAAATTAGAAGTCCAACAAATAAAAACGTTGACATATGTAAAATATTCCACGATTCCAGTGCGAATGAAGCCATACAATATGAAAGTATATTTTAAACATAATTAGTGAATAGCCGTCGGGACGAATAAAAGGTTTTTTGTTATTTAACATTATGTAAGAAAAAAGCTACTGATATAACGAAATTAATATCCATAGAACTGAAGACTGACTTCTACAATTATAAACTATTCTTTGTTTTAGAACTCAAGCGCTATTCTGAAAGTACATGCAATTAATTAAGACTTATCATTTTAGAAAATTCCATATATATGTACATATATATGAACATTAAGTTAAAAAGAAAATTGGTTCTACACTTTGAGAATATATTCTTCAGAACATTTTCTGGGCATTAAAAAACCATTGTACGATTCTAGTCTCCCTTCTTTCTTCTCATGGCATAATTCTTAAAGCAATATAGAACATGTTCAACATCCCTAAGACGCTCTTAATCAGTTAGTGTATCAATATAACAATAATAATAATAATCATATATGTTCTTGGTATATTCGCGACGTTTATGGGTGAATAGTGCTACAATTTACTGGTAACTACTGGTTTTTTACACATTTTTTGTTTTTTTCTTAACCAAAAGAGATTAATATTAGATTATGAGAAAACATCATTTGTAGAAAATATCATTTGTGCTTCTAAACTGTACCTGTATTGTACTGTACAATATTTTATTACTAATTTGTTAAAATGAGTTTTATTTCTATTTATATATTGTAATTAAATTGTTTATTACGACATTACAAAAGGGACTTTTATTTATGTACGACGTTCTTTAATCACTAATAAATCAATAACAAATAATTGACTTGCTATTATTTAAACAGCCCTACTTGAATATTCATTTATAATGAGAGTTTGATTTATAACATTTATCTTAATGCTAAATTGTGATCTTATTTCGTTCTTGAATAATAATTGAATTTATTAAGATCGGGGTTGAAGATGTTATAAGTTTTTTGACGTACGAATAATATTTGTACTCGTAACTATATTTATATATTTGGGGAAAATTAACAAGGAATTGTGATTTAATAAGAATACTAACTTGCATTTCGGAAAGTTTACAAATTTAAGCGGCCTAAATTATGATGAAATACCTACCCTGAAAAAAAAGTGTTGCCATAATGAACTTACTAAATTATCTCTTCATGTTAAGTGTTGATTTATTTAATTTTTACTAAATACACAAATGTACAGGTAATCTTATAACAATTGTCAGGAATCCTAATTCTATGTAAAAAAAAATATAGTGAAATATTTTTATCACAATAAGTTTGATATAATTTCATGTTATGTGTACAAGTTTTATTGCTTAATATTCACGTAGCTAGAATAAAACATTAAAATAATTAAACACTTTGTTTTTGGAAAATTTTGATTTATTAATATACAAATTAGAATAATCACAGTTAAGAACACAGAACATTATCTGTCGGGTCAGTTATACTTAATAAAGAAATTAACTTAATTCAGATAAAAAGGTAACAGATATTTCATGATTATACGGCGGTACGAAGTTCGCTGGGTCAGCTAGTATTTTATAATTTCATTAAAACTAAACAGCGATTTCTGTTACAGAGTCCGGGACATAACAATTGTCTGTAAAGTTAAATGATAGAATTATATATTACTTGTTATATCTTGATAAAAAGAATTAAATCAATGCACAAAAAAATTATATAATCCTTTTAATTATGCTGATATATAGTATACTTATTACTTAATTATGTGAATAGTATCGGCTTCTATTTATAAGAAATATAATTTAAATAGCTTACATATAAAAATATTAAATAAAATACAGTTAATGGAGATTTTTGAAATATTTTCATGGACTGAACAAAATGTTTTGAATGGCACCCATGACGTTGACAAGTGCGGCAACATAACAATAAGAGCGAGGTTGTCACTTCTCTTTATTCCATTGTCAAAGCTTGGGTGTACATGTTTGTTATTCAATCACGCTTTAACTGCCGAGCCATTGAGATGTCATTTTGTATTTACTTATCTATGATGCTCAGTTTTTTTTTCTATAATCTTACGAGATCTACGCTGCCATGATTAAAGATAGTTCAATAAAAAATAAATAATATACGCCATAGCCCATCGCAATTAACAATGGAGTATGAAGGTTAAAAAGAAAAAGGCTATATATTATAATTATTGTAATAGACATGGCTCACTAACTTAATATTAATCTGTAACGTCCATCTGACATTTTAAACACTATCGTAGAACATAATTTTTATGTTTGCCCTATTTATACTTTCGCAGTCTATTCAACCTAAATACCATTCAGTCGTTAGAGTGATCCAGCCAACATTATAATATTATCAGCTCAGTCTAAGCACGAACGATGTAGAAGGATGTCCATACTTAATACCGATGTCGATTATAATGGCTGATTGATAAGTTTTATGTAAAATGACATATATATACGAATAAAAAATAGTTAAATTTGTCAAGCATAAATACTTTAAAACCGGATAAGACTTTTTCTAAACTATTACAACAAAGGTTATAGTGATATGCAATTTGTATTACAAATGAAAGTTTGAATTTTTCTATCATGGATTTTATAATATAGAAAAAAAATGTTTCCAAAAAACCATAAATTTTAAAAACTCAGTTTTCTAAAAATCAACAAAAAACAATTTTTTTATACTTATATCTTTACCTAAAAAATGAAATTGATATAAATTTTGTTACAAATATAAGAAACAAAATAGGGAATAAATTTAAACTTCCAAAACATTCTCATCAAAAATAATCCATTCACTTTGATTCAAAACTTTGACAAAAGCATTCGTTATTGTGTATGCAGTTCTATTACTCCCAATCAATAATTTTTTTAACGCTAGCAACACCACTATTTGTCTATATAACAAAAATAGGCTCAATATTTTTTAATAATTAAATATCCGTATCCTTGTAAATATCTACATGTTAAATTACAGTTAAATTGCCATTAATGGAGGCATACATTGGACTGGGCTTTTTAAACCAGGAATATTGGTTTCTACCAATTAAATTAAATTCAACAATTTTAGCGTCAATTATTTGTTAAACAACGTTCCTGTTCCTCTATTTAATTTTAAAAAGGGTGATCATATTAATCGCACAAGCACTTTCATTATCTGTAATAGTGAAAAGTCACGAAGCTTCTAGAACTACCAACTTAAAATATTAAAATTTTGCATAAGAGAAAAAATAAGTAAAACAATTTATATTTATTTTATATACCAACACATTTTATAAATCTAAGTATCGACATGTCAAAAACTTATTTCGTATTAAGTATTATCTAATTGCGTTGTGGCAACTATTGCCAGCGCTCTATCTCTTTCTCGCTTTTGCGCGCTAGATAAACATGACGCAACATCCGTTCCGTCGGTTGGCTATCGTGTCGAGTCTCGTACCGCCATTTTGATACGCTCTGTTGTCTATAATTTCAATAGATCGTCTTTATGGAAAGGTCCGTAGATAATTTTTACTCTTTGGATAATATAATGTGCTCTCTGATTACTTATAAACATAAAACAACTGTCAAAACAATGTGCTTGAATTCTAAAGTTTTGTGTTTTTCAGGTTTTCCTGGTGGGATAATTATGTATGAAACGTTTTAATATGGATTCATTTACAAATTTGTGTCGAAGCTGTCTTAGTCCAGAAACTGGAGTGTCACTTTGTGATAATGAAGACAATATAAAAGAGAAATTCTTCGAAGTTACCACTGTCGAGGTATATAAGTAGTATTTATTCCTATTTATACTTTTTAAAGCAATAATATTTCTTATTTTATAACAAGGGACATTTGATAGATACGAGAGTTATTCCTCATATATTTTATCAAGATTCATTAAACATAATAATTTCATAAAATTTATTGGGCTCGTGCTACTTAAATTTCTAAATTACAAAATGCAGTACGTAAATAACAACATGTTATTGATTGAAGTATTTATTAATAACTAGTTATCTTAAATGTTCCAGGTCAAGGAAGATGATGGCTTACCTCAAAAGCTTTGTAATGATTGTTTCACTCTTATGACATCAGCATATCAATTTCGCAATCAATGTATGAAAATGGATAAGGAACTTAGGCTTCAATTGGAGGCTTACATCAACGAGAGCACAGAAGAATTTTCACAAATAGAAACACAATTAAAAGCCAGCGAGGACATGACAATAGAGGATATAGCTAAAGAATCAATGAAACAACTAGAATCTATTATTAAAAGTGAGCCTAACGATAGTGACGATGATTATTATTATGTGGTTGTAGTCGACAACAATAAAGATGATGAGAGTGATAAAAGCAACAGTAACAGTGTGGTTACACAATCCATCAAAAAAGAAAATACTACCGAAGATATTATCATGAAGACTTCTGATCACAGCACACAATTTGAGAATTGTATCGATTCATTTCTAGTTACAAATCCTAAAGTGCCAAATAATGTACCGGCGACCATTCTTGAGAATGAAGAACAAGAAATGGATGAGAATTTTACCAATGTAGATGAATTGTCTCAGGATCATTCTCTTGGTATCACAGAAGATTCTCAAGATAAGAGTGATGATTACGCTGTGGCTGTGCCACAAAATATAAAGAATAGCATAGGAAATTCAAAAAGTTTCATCAAAATTCTTACCCCGTCTGGCGCAGAAAGGACAATACTTGTTAAAAACGAAGATGGTGTTAAATATTTAACAGATGCTCAGCTTCTGAAAGATGGTACCGATTCTTTGTCTCAAGAAGAAGTTATTTTGTATGAGGGTGATGATGCATCACAGTTGCAGATACTGAAATGTGATGGTTCCGAGCTAGTTATAGAGTATGCTGATGATAGTCAGATAGCAACAGTTCTGCAACAAGAAGATGGCACTTTCTTATGTGATTGCGGTGAACAATTTGATGATTTTGCCGATTATGAAAAACATCAATACAAACACAACCCGGCTGGAGAACATTTGTGTAATTTATGTGGCAAAGGCTTTGAAACCGCTGAAGTTCTGACTGGGCATATGCTGTTACATAGCGTGACAAGTGTATATGTTACATGTCCATTCTGTTGTCAAAAAGTAAGGAGAAACAGTCTCACGCAACACATAAAGTATGTACACAATACAAAACCACAATGCGATATCTGTTCAAAGACATTTGCAAATCAAAATAACTTAAAAAGGCATTTGATGATACACAGCGGTATAAAAGACTTCGAATGTGATATATGCCACAAGAGGTTCCATCAGAAAATAACCATGCAAACACACAGACTGACACATGTCAATCCATTCACATGCAATCAATGTGGATTACAATTCAACGAAAAAGCCGATTTAACAGCCCATAAAAGTTCAGAAGAATGCAGTAAGACAAGGATAACCAAAGTTAAGGAAGAATTAATGAAGACTGTTAAACAGGAAGTTGTTTCCAACCTCGGAAAGTTATTAGGCTATGCATGTTCACTGTGCAAAAAAATGTTTACGCTTGAATCTGCTTTAGAGCAACATGTAGAGACTACGCATATCTTCGAAAATGAGGAACAACATTTGGAGAAGGTTCCAAAGAAGAGCAACAAAAAGTTTGACTGTCGGATATGTGGAAAGAGTTGTGCTAGTCAGGCGATGATGATTATGCATGAAAGGGTTCACACAAACGAGAGACCGTTCCCTTGCCAACTCTGTGCATTAAGATTCAAAACAAAAACTCATTTACGTACACATCAATTAACACATACAAGAGAGAAAAAATTTGGTTGCTCTGTTTGTTTGAAATTTTTCGCACTAAAAGGTAACTTGGTAGTTCATTTAAGAACACATACAGGGGAAAGACCGTATGTGTGTTCCATTTGCGGGGAAGCTTACATAGACTCTAAATATCTTAAGAAGCACAAACAAAAGAAACATTCAATAGATAATGTTCCTTGGAATACATATTAATGAAAAATCTCACACACATAGTATACAGAAAAATCATTTGAAATCTAGCAATTATATATATATGCCTAAAAACAGTACTTGAATCAGAATATAAATGTATTATATAAGTATTTAAAAGACTTGAGTTTGTGTGAAGCCAATGTTACATGTGCTGATATCCAAAAAATATGTTAATGTTAAATAATTTTATTCTTTAAGTAAATTATTTTAAGAAAGGGCCTATATAGGGATGTACCTAATATAAAAAAGTCTATATTTGATACTAACAATCTGATCATGTTAGATTTCTGAATAAATCTTAGGAGTCATTTGAATGAAGAAATTGTATATAGTTTTCAATAAATAAGTTGTCATATATGGCAACTGAAATGCTTAACTTAATCTGTGTCAAGTATTGAGCTTTCATAGTTCACAACTTAATGGATATGGTAGAATAACATTGTAAACAATTCATTAAATTTATAATAAAAAATATTAATGACTATGTAATTTTAATATCCAATAAAGTGGTTTGTGAATTAACAAATAAGTATATGTATGTACAATAAAAGATAACTAATATTTTTACTAATATTACTTATAAAGACTTTTATTTTTATAGTCACTAATTGTAGTCTAACAATAGAAGATATTCTTTTTTCCTTTTGTCTTAAATTAAGAGTTTTGCTACTTTATAACAAAAAATTTGTTACATTTAGAAAGTATATACTTGATTAACTTATATGTTGCCTTCCTTAGCACGATATAAAAATGAGTATAAGGTTTTAACTAAGACATTATATTTTAAACTCAAACAGATTCGTTTTTTTCAAACTTAGATTGAATTTGTGATTACAAGACACTAGAAGTTTTAGGACTTCTTATCCTCTTTTTGTATAATAAAAAACTGCGAACTAAAACGGTAGTATGTTAATTGTAATTAGTATTTGCACCCATATTTCAATAATAGTTATTTGTCATCAAGAGCGTATGAACGACATTCTATTTATTGGTGCTGTAGTTTTTTCATCTAGAGAACTCTATCAATTATTATTCCTTATATTTTCAGAAGAGCATATTTTATAGGGTATTTTACATTTCAGTGTGCAACAATCTCAAAATATATGAAGTCTTCTAGCCGATAAAATAGGTGGAACGGTGGCTAATCAATCAGAAACGGGAAAATTTATCTCTAACGAGATGTCTCTTTATTCGATGGTACAATTAGTGTCACCTATCGCCAGTTAAGTAAACCATCATGCAAACTGATTTATTATTTTACTTTATTTGGAACTACTCAACAACAGAGGGCGTTAAAATCGAAAATACTTAAACCACATCACTCAAATTTTAATAAGACGTTTTTTCTATAATACAAAAAGACTGGTACTGAAAATAATTTTTTTTTCTACTCTCCCCTCCTACATTAATGTCTATATAGAGTCAAGAAGAAAATATCCAAGATCCAATTCAATTAAGTACAACAACTAACAAACCAGATCTTTATTAAAATCAGCTCAGCAATTTAGTCCTTACAACAAACAGACAGCCAGACAGACAGTTTATTTACAATGTACAGATAGTATGGATGAAATGTCTGTCAAGGTTTTGTTAAGTTCAGTTAGTTAGGTTTAATTGACACGATAGTTGTTGACGTGTCTCCTCGTCACACTCGCGTCATGGAGCTTAACATAGTCACAAGAAGTACCAGGGGTACATAAACATAAGGGAGATATATTAGGCGCGTGAGTTTACATCGTATGTATTTAGTTTGGCACGAGTGAAAGGTACCGCCAATATCGCTGTTTCTTTCGCACGCGACAGATAGCAATTTAGATTTTTTGGGTTCAGTCATTAAATTGTAAAGACGAACATTGTATTTGAGTTATGTCGATTATTGGCATTAGATTGTCTTTTAATTTGTATTATTTACTATACTCGTTCTAAAATGAGAGCTACGAGCGATAGGTGGCAGTACTTGTATGAGAGAGTATGAATGCTAGTTTTAAATCTCGGCTAGCAATCTCGCATTGTAACTATAGCATAGTAATTTTCGATACTATCGATATAGAGCGGGTATTCGATTAATAGCGATGGGTCCCGTAGTTATCAAATCTAATTAATAACAATTCTCTTCTTCAATTATGTCAGCCTGGTATGAAAAAGCATTAGCCACAACGATTGGCAATCCGACCTGTGCGGATTACCACGTTCAACTTTTAGCACATTGTGAGATAGAGTTAAAAATATAGGTAAGTTAGGTTGTTCGTAATCTATCTAGATATACCTAACCAAACCGAAAATGTGCAAAAAAGCTTGGTAGCAAACGTACAACGCTGCGTATAATACGTGCCCGGTATATATATAGGTTTTTATACGCTTTGTGTGGTAGAGGTTATGGAGCGTTGTACGGGACGCTGGGATGTCGGGCCGCGCCGCGCCTCGCTGAATCATTGGGTAATGTAGCGCGACTCGACCGAAACGTTTTGATACTATTCATATTATTATTATTATTTGTTCAAATTTGTTGATAGTGACAAGTACTATTTTGACAATAGAAAATGCACATCTTAAATTTAATCAGCACTTGTTAAATGTAATTTAGAAATGTTAATTCATAAACATATAAGTAACTTTGAAATTATTCTAGTGTATTTAACAATTCATCTACAAGGACTTTCCAATTCAACTATTTTTCAACGATTTTTTTAAGTTTACATAGTTCAATAATTGTTTTGTAAAGACAAATTTAAATAGGTTTGTTAAAATATTCAAAGTATCAAGTAGTGTGAGTCGCTGTACAGACCGAGTCGAGCGGTGAGTGGCGCTCGACGCGGTGCTGCTTTGTTCCCGGCAGCCGCCGTGCAGGGCTGTCCACACATTATTATTATTATTTATTATATAATATTATACCTATGAGTTTTATTTCATTTCTAACGTTTCTGTAATAATATTTCTGGTCTAAAAAACGTTTGCATTAACAACAGACTGACCTCAGTACTGGAGGTACATACTAATATTGAGATTTTGAAACACTTCTAATGTGAGTAACTTCAAAACTTTTAACATTACTTTCGTCGCTAACTCTTTATTAAATATATAACTGAGACTTGAGATCATACGCAGTCCACTACATAATCCATTTCCAATTCACACTATAACGAATCCCTTTTACATAATATATTGTATAATATATATGATTATTATTTTAATGTGCCAGGTTCAGCCCTGTCGTCGAGGCGGGCCGATAGCAATATCGCTGAGTGCGGCACGAGCGAGTCCGCGCCTAATTTACTACGCCAACGCCTGCCTTACTCTGAGACCCTGGTACATGCTACACGCACAGAAATGACTTACGGGAGATTCTTTTCCACAGTTATTTTTTTTTTATTTTATATGAAAAAATAAAGTCTGAAAAAGATTATTAGGTAACTATTATTTATGCCTATAATCTTACTTATTACTTATTAGTTATTACATATATTAAAACGAAAAAAAATATATTTTTTGAGAGAGTATTCGCTTAATTCGAGTGAGTTTTCTTACAAAAAAATTCAATTAATGATACTTGTAAACAAGCAGCCTCCTTACCACAAGGAAATGTTGTCTCAGCGTTATTTCGAACGATCCATCCAATTTGCAATTCCTGCATCCGATGAGTATCCCTGATTTAGCTCTTTAACGGACACACAAGTCAGCGTTTTATTTCATTTTTTATTATTTTTTTTATTACATGAATACACATTTAAAATACACTCAAAATTAACACTCACATGTAAAAACTAACTTAATGAACAAACTAAGATTGACCCGGTTGGAGTCGTGAACCCGATTTGACTTTTACTTCTTTGACTTTGACACTTACAAATGTGTAACTATGTACTAGGAGTACATAAAATAAAAGGAGCTAAGTATGAACAGCGAACAGTAAGCACTGCGTTGCAGAAAAACGTGCCTGGTGGCGAAATGAAATATATCTGCACTGGGTTTCGGGGCAGATAAGCCTCGGGGCGAGGTAAAGTACATGTCACTAGGGATGGGACATCGGAAAATATCATTATCGATGTTGTGTATATACGATATATGGTATACACATTTTATATCTTCTTTTCTTTGTTTTAAATATACCTACATAATATATATAGGTTGTATTTTCTTTATATGTAAAATTTTAAATTAATATTCTATAGTACAAACAGTAAACGTAAATGAAGTCAGTACAAGTTAGGTAATTTTCGTAATAATTTGAAGTTTTATACTACACGTAATATTATATACTTCGTAATGGAAGCTTCACTAGCGTTGTTCAAGTGTTAGAGGACGCATTACCGCTCAGTTGTTCGTATCGCAAGTAACAAAGAACATTTCAGAATATAATTATTAGAGTACAACTATTCTTTTAGCTACTATTAGAAGCTACATATACTAGATTTATACCGGTTTTTGTCCTGGCCTCAGTTACTTATCCCGTTTTTAACAAAAACCACAAACATATCCTGTGAGTATGTGACTAAAATTTTAAATACCTTTTATTTATTATTTGCAAATTTCAAGACGTTCATTTCCCAAAAAAGTTTAATAAAAGAAGGCGGTGAAACAAAAAAATCCTGAATAAAAAAGTACTAAAATATTTAAAATATATTTTTTTATTTACGATAACTGAATCAAATCAACCAAACGTAATTTACACCACTAAGTCACATTTCAAAGGAGTTGCTCACGGTTTATGTTGTTCTGGTTACTGTAATCTCTCAGCTATGTCCGCAGACGAACAGATGTTTTAAGTATGGACCACTTACATAACTACATATGAACTCCTAGTATATGAGACTAGTTGTAACGCATCGCTAGAAAAGAATAAATATATTCATTTATTTTGATCGCAGGGTATAAAGAATTTTCAGCAAGCAAAAAACACTCAAGGGAAGATAAAATTATATTTCAATAAGTTTTATTATATATTAAAATATATTATTTATAATTTTTTTACATAAAACATAATATTAAGTTTAAAAAGTAAATTAAAATAAATAAAGTATGTAGTAAGTTTGAATTAAATATTTCACTTCCTTTTTTTAATGTCAACCCATTTCCAATCAAAATAATATTCGAATCCCAAGCACCTGGTAAACATAGTTAGTTAGTTTAAATCTCCCTTCTAAGAAATACAACATTTAATTATATCTTCCCTTTTTATGAACTCCTAGTAATAAAGCCACGCAACAATTGTAAAACCGCGTATCCTGGAAGTGTTTTTAAATTTTATTTATTTTAAAATTTTAGAGCACCCGACTTGCTTTGAGCACGAAATTTTGGTAGAGCATGAAATAATTAATTATTTACTGGATAATTTGTACTGTAAGAAGAAACTTATCTCACTCATAATTTTATATTTTAATTCGAATAAACTAAATAAATGTTCAAAGCACGACGACTCTGTTCCTAATGCGCCAACGCAGTCTAACGTTATCTAGACACTCTTATAATGTGATGTTCTCCTGGTATGTTGCGCACTCTTCGCGCAAGTCAACGGTAATTCGTGCGCATGTCTCGTGCTTGTGAGATGCGCGCGCGCAACTCTCTCTGATGACAAAAAGTTGAAACCTTACAACATTGTAATACAATATGTACCCTGATGCTTCTCATATAGAAGTCATTTTTCACTGTCAAATCAACAAATCCAATGTCTAACTCAACGAAGCCTCAGCTTAGATACTGCATTGAAAAGTAAATTACGTTTTCTTATCTACTCTAAGAGTATTAACTATTAACATTTAGCTTGTACATGTACTCGTTTAAGAATTGATTCCAAATAAGCCTAAAAAAAATAATCTTGTCCAAACTCAAGTAGAATTGTTTGAATGAAAAAATATTTACAGCCAACTAAATAAAGCGAAAATTTCTACATTTTTAAAAATATCCATATTTTACTTTACCAGGAAATTACATTATTTTTCACATTAAATATTTCGAAGACCTAAATGAAGCTATCAAAATAAGACAAATTGGAAGCCACTTATATTATATAATTTAATAGATCTATATGTAATAATTGTAACGTGTAAGTTATATAAAAAGTAGCTGATGTTAGTCAACAAAGAGCGTGCGCTATCAAGGCCGGAGCACATGATCGTCCGGTCGGGCGATCGGGCCGATTGTTTTGCGGGCAATTAGCGCCGTTCGGTCCCGCACGTGTTCTGCGGTCCGGGACCGGCACCAGTCGCTCCGGTCGCCTTACTCGAGTTACTCGAGTTACTCGCCTTACTCGACTTACTCGCCGCTCGTCAGTGTACCGCGCGTGCCCCACGCGAACGGTCGTGCGCTCTGTCCGCTAACTCCCGAACGGTCTGTACGCCTGGTATATTTATATTTATTCTCAAACTTTTTCTTTGACACCTGTAGATTTTAATAACGTCCGCTTCTCACATACTTTTCCGATACTTTGTTTAAAATTCGATCGAGTTTTCGTAATCTTTGAAAACTTTTTATTTAATTTTTTTTTTAGTTTATTCGATGCAAATGGTGAATTTAAATATATAATAAATATATATGAACTTTCAATGCTAAATATCTACATATTGACTATGTAAGAATGTCTTAAAGAGAGAGAAAATATTCCGCTTTAGCATTCTCCCGTTCGCCGCCGGGAAAAGTTTCCGCAAAGTCCTTTAGGTGGGATACAAGTTGGCAGTCAAAAGTTCTCGTTCTCCAAACTTATAGGCACGCGAGTCTCCTAACTTTTGGAATCCGAAACTTTTCTTAAAATATTCTCAATACAGATAAAACAGACAAGGTACTAGCGTGACAAGGAAGGATTACTGTGTGCTTGTTCTCTAATATTAAATGACTATTATGGAGTTTATTTAAACAAAAAAAAACTATATAAGTGACATTAAAAACAAAATGGCGGCTGCCATGATTAAAGATCGTGGTTTGCGAAAGAAGTTAACCCAGGAAGCGATACCCGAGAAGACGCCCAAAAAGCCATCGAAACGTAAATCAACAGCGAGCAGTTCCAGGAACGACAAGAAGAACGAACAAAACAATAATAAAAGACCTAAAATACAGACGGGGGATCCTAAAGTGGACCTGTTCTCAAACTACCAGCCGTGGGTGATCCAGACGTACGGGGACCTCGCTAAAACGAAGACGATCACCTTGAAAAAGTACGCCAGAATTCTAAGAACGCTCCGAGGCGAGGAGTGTAATAGTTCAGACAGTTCGAAATTCCGTTTTTGGGTGAAGGCGAAAGGTTTCCATGTGGGCCGCCCAGCGGGGTACGAGGCTAAGCCGGCCGACGGGATTGTATGTAGATACAGTGTGTCGGACTCCGAGGGCTGCGTCAGGACTCCGGAGGGACACGAGATATACACGGGCTCTCAGAACGACCCTCCGCTCTACATACCGACGCCGCCTTTAAAGGTAACTTTAATGTATAATTATATGAACATAAGGTAGTTAGAATAAACAATATGATTAAAATAACGCATAAAAAATAAACGAACCGATTTATCTATATAAAATATAATGTAATAAATAAGCTGGTTATAATGTATAACTAGATAAATCAAGACGAACCAAGCTCGTAAAGTAGTCGAGATCAAAGAACAGGTGATGTTTGCTACTGATGTACCAGGGTCACATAATCGCCGAAATGATTACCATTATATTAAGAATGCTCATTCATCAGTAATGATACAAGGCGTGCAGCCATGAATTACTAAACACTGTACACTACACTACGAACTATACACTACGCAACATCTTTACAATGTTACAGGATGCATCATGATTCTTTTTTTAAATAATTATAAAGTTACATACTTTTTCTGTAACCAGCCAGTAACGTATGAACCGAATTGAGTTTCGTCTATACGTCCGCAAATGATTTCTGACATTTAACTGAGTTTTATGTCTGGTTTAGTTAAGGCTGGTGAGTTATTTTTTTCACGATCCATACAGGCTGTAATCTCTGCAGACTTTAATGGCGTTGTTATCGCTAAAAGCGATTTGCTCTACGAGTTATAAACGTGTGTACCTGAAATACAATTTATGATTATGACGTTGCTTTACGGGTAATTTTTCTGAATGATCTCGATCTATTTTAAAATTCGAATACGTCCTAACGTAGGATATTAGAAAGGAGGTTTTATAGTTCAGGAATGTTGAAGTTATTCGACTATAGTAAAGGGAATAGTGTCTCGTATTATGAGATCGTGAGCCATATTTAATAAGAGATTCGTTGCAGCCTCTCAGCCTAGCAACTAATAACGCGCTGGCAACATTTTATCTTCACATACACATTAATGCGCAAATCGATCTGGATTGACGGCCATTGTAACTTGTTTTTCAAAGATCTCCGAGTGTAAAAAATTTTAATTAACAATTTTCTATAGGAACTATTTTTGAAAAAAATCTATTCATCTAACCTGAACAAGGATATTTTTAAAACCAAAAAGTATTTTATGAAATTTTATATTACCCGTTGCTCATTATTTGACGCGTATTTAAAACAACATACAAATAAGAACTTTTTTAAAAGTTAAGAAAATTTACAACCTAACTAAAAAGCTTCCTTATCAATCTTATGACTTCTATATAAGATATATATTTTCCTCGAAAAGATTTCTATGGAAATTTGATAACTTGTATAGCACAATAAAAGTAAGTAAGATTCATCTATTCGTAACTACGAGGACGTGATGAAAAACTGGAATCCAATAACTGTTTCAGTCGAAGTCGGTTAAAAAATCGAGAAATTTCAGAAAATATATAACATAGGGATAAAACTTAGAATTTTTTATTTTTTTCTAAGTTATAACGAACTAGATTTTGGGAAGTTATTCCGAAAATATATTGATGAAATCATGAAAACGATTCTGAGTTAATCGGATATATAACTTGATGTCAATCACGAAAATCCATTTTGTATTTTGGACAAACATACATACATTGAATACATTTTCAGTCATTCATATATAAAAAACCATTTAAAAGTTTTTGTACACATCATTAAACATAATTAAAAAACTATTCTATTAATATATATTATTATTTTTTAATATTGAAGAGAAAATAAAATAAATTTATTTCACGCAAAACCCGGGTCGGGTGGCTAGTATTAGGGAATAGACATATGTATGTGTATTGTAAAGAAAATATAAATGAACTACAATTTTAAAGTTAACGTAAAGACTTACAGTATTTTTTATACTCTAAACATCTGTAAGGATAAAAATAGTATAATTACATTATTATCTTTACCTAAAACAATATGCACCAAATGAAATCATTAACGTGAAACGATGCATCTACTTTAGGATAAATATAAACGCTTCATTATTTAAAATAATTGTAAAATATTTAAAAGAAATATTTATGAAAAGTCCTACATAAGTATATAAATATATTATGAAAAGTCCTACTGACATTAAATATTATTGGAACAAAAAAAATGCTCTTAAATTAATAACACATCGTCTCATCATCATCATCCTATCAGAGCCCACTGCTGAGCAAAGGCCTCTTTCTCACATGGAGAAGGTTTGAGCATTAATCACCACGCTTGCTCAAGACGGGTTGGTGATTTCAAACTTATAATTATGAAATTATAAGTCCAGGTTTCCTTACAATGCTTTCCTTCACCGTCTTCCTTCCTTTCCCCGACACAATATGCACCAAATGATATCAATAACTTGAAAAAAAAAAATTAAAATAAATATAAATATTAAGTCTATTAAAAAGATATATCATAGGAAAAATTCTATTGCTATTAAATATTATTTGAAAGAAAAAATCTTTCTGTCAAATTAATTACACATCGGCTGTAAAACTAAAAACGAATTCAATATCAATATGTATGTATTTTATTCACTGGTAACATTCACCTAAACTTCTTGTTATTTAAAAAGCCACAGTTAAATAATATCTACAACAGAAAAAAACCACAGACTATAAAATGTAATGTTCCAAACCTGGATTAATTTAGTGCTGGCTTAAATAACTGTTGTATTCTATTAGGTGTCTTATGTTAGTAGTAAATAGAACTGCAAATAAAACTCATATATTATTTGAGATCTCACGTTATTAAGCCGGCTCTACGAGGCGTCTTATTTTCAACGGTTAAAAGATTTAGAAACACTTTGCAAGTGAATTTTATTTAACAGATTACATCCCTAACAAGGATTACTATAACAACAGATAAAAAATAATTGTTAATCTTTAAATTGAAGTGAATTAAAAGCGTATAATCTGTGGTATTAATCGTCAATAACGATATATCGTCAACATCACTACTCACTAGTCGGTGTGATGGACGCGCTAACGTGTAATACAGTGAATGCACCGGCGCGGCGGGTGATACAAAGAGCTGCCCCGGGACAGTCCGGTATCTGTGCGTGCAACAGCGCCGCGTGAAACTTTAAACAAACGCTTTTCAATTTATATTCGCCCGGCGCGGTTTAGCAAAAACGAGCCGAACAATGGCCGGCCGCAGTAGCCACAGACGGCGATAGCAGCGATAAGCGGCGATCGATGTTCGACGCTCAGGCCTCAGCACCGATGTTAAACTCCTAGCGTGTTATGCGCTCCTGGTAATATGTATCGAAAGTATCGATGAAATTTCGGTACCGATTTACAAAAAACATTAATAAAAATACTTTAATTTTTGCGACTTGACTTTAGTACCTAGTTTAATTATTTTTTTCATATATATTTTAAGAATTTCTGAACAAAAAAAATACAAAAATTCAAGAAATCGTCATATCGCACTATAGTTATCTAGAATGTCCTATCCTGTGGCAGAGTTTTCCCTTATCCCGACCCCCTCCCGGTTATCGCTACTGGGGTTATTAATAAAACGAAACAAATGAAACGGGTATAATTCATCGGGCGGCCGGGAGTCGGGTGACGCGTATGATTAAAACGAACGCAGCCCGCGGCTTGTTTTTACCTGTCGGTTGTAAACTGTCGACTGTCGTGACCAAGCGTCCCGGCTTTGACAGGATAACGGGACAACGGGACATTACTTTAGCCGGAACAACACCGGAATATTGATGTGCCAAATTATAAAATTATTTCTTCCGTGACATAAAAAGCAACTGCTTATATGTAATGTAATCTTGATAATTCAATGTAAAGAAAAACTATGATTTAGAATGAATGTAGAATTACCTTTTTCACAGTTTATCGATGAAACGCGGAACTGATCGCAAGCCTATACAAAAATAAAACCGTCCGCGTAGCTGTCGATCGCGGGCAATTAAATTATAACGCATCATCTGAATCGCTATATTACTCTGTTAACGATTATACCCTATCGGTAATACATACAAAAGAGGATTTGTTTTTTTATCACCTTTAAAAAAATTAAATCCGTACATATTTAGCTAAAATTCTGCCACACAAGCAGGTTCGATATTTGAATTCAATTAGATAAGAAAAAAAAAAAAATTTGAATATGGAATCCAAAAACTTACCGCCGCCGAGACTACTGTATCGGAAGTTTTAATCCGGGCCGCTAGTTCGGTGTGGGCATTGTAAAAATGACGCTATAAATCGGTCGGGCGGTCGGCGCGTCGTAAATTACATCGAGGCGGGAAACGGCGATGCCCGCGATCACAAAGGCGCGGCGAAAAAATATTGTTAGGCTCTGCATTGAGGATTAATTTTTTTATACATCTTTTCTATCCGTATCTTACTTTAATAATTTTTTGATGTTAATTTTTAATTTATTGCCATATGCTATTCTCATATACATTAATATAAGAATTTCATGAATTAATTCTGATTATGTTATTCAGCCACTCTTAAGTATAGAGCTCTCAATCTTTTATATGAAATTATTATATTATTCTCTTTTCGATTACACCGATTCCAAACATTCCGTTTACTTCTAATATTATTAATTATTAAACTAAAACATATATACATAATACCATAGATACAAAACCATCATATCTTATATATGTACGCCGTCATAAAAACGCTAACCGCTCCGAGCAAATACCATCTAACAAACATTAGACCGACCACTGCCGTCCAGTATGGTCTTGTGAACGTGCCGATTGGACCGCTTTCACCCCCGGCCAGGACTGATATTCGACGTTCGAGATTTGAATTCATTCAGATTTTATTAGAATGTTCCATTTTTAAAAATTTTAATTCGAACTCTATGGTGGTATAAAAATAGTTGCGTCTTGACTCTTGTCGCAATTATTAAATATATTTAGTAGATTTAAAAATATTAATATTAATAATGCATTATAATATTATAATGCTGTAATCCTTCTTGGTTAATATAGCGTGTTTATAATGATAGCGAGCGTCTGTTCTGATTTACTGGACTTACGTAACAAGGTTTCACACTCCAAATTACTTCCCGTTGGAATGAGTCTTCTTGAAATTTTATGCAATCTATTCGTGCTCATATAGTTTTATAATATTAAACTAAACTAATGACAAAATACCACTGTTTTTCTAAACATAGTATCAATTAGCTAGTTTATTCCGTTTATTTCACAGGTTTTGTTTGTAAAAGACGTTGATATAGAGTTTGGTATAATGATATAAAAAATATATTTATTTCTTACGTAAAACTTATTATATTATTACCCTTAAATCTAACCACACATTTGATACAAATTAGCCACATATGTGACTAAATTGGTGCCAATCGGAATCCATTTTCCAAATTGATCGTCATAAATCAAACGACAATTCGCTGCTCGCTTGTCATGTTGCTCTAAAATATCTAGAAAATTCTCTTTTGTGACAGATCCTACTCAAAAGTTATCATAATATAGAACATATTACGAAATATTAATTCAAAAATCGAATATAGTGATTTGAAAGTGATCAACTCGCGATACATCACAACCGGTAACAAAAGAACAATTCCGAAGGTGTAATTCCCAATTCCCTCCGTCCGTTCACTTGATTGATTCGAAACGTAACGGAAACTAGATTTCATAAAATCGACTCAAACCAGCCGGTGTTGTAAATTCTCACGATGTCCGCACATTTAAATGACAAAGCCGCCGTACTGTAGATTAGCTTTCGAGTCGAGCAGCGCTATTACTAATGTACGTAATGTCACTTGTTTGGTACCAGACCGACATAAGATGAGTTCACTCACCCACAGACTGTACATAAAATATATAGAAATATAGAAAAAAAAACTCAACATATAATATCTACTACAAATGGTAAACAAAAATCGTCGTGCCAATAAACTGGTAGTAATCTCGAAAGTCCCGTATAAAGAAGCTCGCCGGCCGCGGCCGCCGCTCGACTCGATATAATAAAACCGTTCGCAAATCTTTCAAGTGGGTGAGAAGTGAGAACTCGCTATCTATTCTATATAAGTTACACGAATCATGATCACACGTGCAACAAAAAGCTAACGCATTCGCATTGCGGGCGTTCAGCTGGCGGCAGAGTACCCGGCGCGCAGAGAGCGCCGGAGATAAGTAAAGGGGACGGGTGACGGGTGACGGGTGAAGGGTGCGGGGTGAAGGGTGACGGCTGTGGGGGGGTGGGGGGTAAATGCCCGCGCGGCGGCGGCGGGTAATTGGTTCGCGCCGCCCGAGGCGAGCCCGTAGTATCGCGCTTTAGCGACGGCGCCCTCCGGTGTCGGGCGTGGAACAAGGAATGCGTGGAGAGGATAACGACTGCTATCATTATATTTATATTTTAATATTTATTATATTTTATACACATGTATATTTATCACAATATTTATATAATAATAAATGTATTGATGTAATACAGGTAATGTGTTATAAAATCAGATCATCCGAATGCTTTGAATTAAAAAATATGTAATAACCAAACATTCAACGAGATTTTTGAATTGAGAAGAGGTCAGAGAAAATAAAATAAAAATATAAAGTAAGAATAACTACTCCACGCCACCCCGGCGGCTGTTTGTCATGCTACCGCGGAGTTATAGCTATGTCATGCGGCCACCGGCGCGCCACTTTATACATCCGACGGCGCTACCGCCCGCCACGATGTGAACACAGCTTTATATATAACGTGTACAACCAGATTGGAAGCGTCGCTGTTGAGAACTTGCGATGTACCCGCTCTATGATTCCGAAACTTCTTTTTATGTATTCCGTGTTATATCGTCGTTCTATGACGCTTGTTCTTTTTTTGAAATCCGTGTGACGTTGATGCGATGCGCTTCCAATTTTGAAATTGTACTTTTGGTATTGCATTCATCATTTAATACGTAAATAATATTTAAAATTTTAATACGTGCATGGGGTTTTGCACTTGCGTGATTTAATGCATCAGTATAAAATATGTGTTTATAATAGTTCCAGTTAACTCTACATCGTCGTGTTACCTACCGGGAACTAATATTATATTCAATGACGCTTTTTCACCAACATTATAAAAAATATTTCACAACATACATACACATTAACATAGTTTTTTTTATTAGGTATCTAAATTTCGTAGCGTGCCAGTCCTGAGTGTCAACTGTCAAGTATTGTATAAATTGTATAAATATATTATTTATGTATAATATAAATTAGGTCTATCCTACACTGTAAGCTACTCAAAGATATACAATTGTACTGTTTTTCATAATTAATAATAAGATTATAATGCAAACATGAAAACTATACGTGTTTAAAGTGAAAATGACTCGGACTTAAAGTAAAGTTTACACAAAAAATCTGTTCAGTAGGTTGTGTTCATATATGATATACCTATGTATTAATAAAAACGCATATATTTATTCCTTTGAATTTTAACATAGAATATTATAATATTGTTACTTAAATATAATATAGAAATAAATTATTTTTGGTCACCGTTGCTAGTGAGGTTTCTTTGTCTACAATGAATACTAATAGGAATGCAATTTCAGAATTATGTCACTGCACTATATTCTATTCGTGATATTAAATATAATAAAATTAAATTATTGTCTATTAATCATTAAAAACACCTACATATATATAAAAAAAATCTAAAATATATTTTCAAACGTAAAAAAACAAAAAAGTATATAATCATAATAAGCTGGTTAGCGAGTCCGGTTGCGAGTTGTTATTTTTCATTTCGTCAAAGCCCGCTCATTACCGCGTTAAGAGGGGCGGGGCGCGTCGTGTACGATAGTGATTGAAAACATCGATGGAAATATATCGATATCGATATAAAAAAAATGACAAGTGAGTATAAATATAATGCATATGCGTTAAATATTTAAATATATATATAGTATATATATAAAAGCGATCAGTGGGTCCGAGCCGCGGCGTCGCCACTCAGCGCTGCTCGTAAACGTTATCGGCTACATCGTAAAAAGAAACGTAAAATGGCGAACGTGCCGCCCAATACACGGAGTACGGGAAAAAAAACATACGATCAAGACAGAACGACGGTACACTACGTACAGACAACGTTTGTTTAACATTTGTATGTTAGATTTGTTTAAAAAATATATAAGTTAGGTTCAAGTAACCTTTGTTCTAAATATAGTACTGAACTTGTAAAAGTATGGTAGATAATCGATCAGTAATTCGGATTATAAATTTATAGATAATTTAAGAGGACTGCATACTTAAGTATAGTAACTGGTAAGTCTTACTCAATTTATATGAATTCGTGTAAAACAGCAACTTAAAAACGTGTTAATGAAACAATATTATTCATATATATTATTCTTAGACTATATTTAAAAAACTTCGACACTTCTCATTCAACTCTGCGGGATAATCTGTTAGGTTGAAAAAATTTAATTATAAATATCGATATCATACGTTTAGTATATGTATATAATGTGTAGGTACTTATGTATCACACCTACAAACCTTCCCCTGACCTTTAAACAAGCAAAGCTGACGGAGGCGTGAAATTAAAATACTGAAATAACAAAGTTTAGGTTCAATTTTTAGGATGACGCCATCTAGCGTCTAAAACATATAACTATCCGACCGCTAAAATTGAAGCCCGAATGACTTTAATCCTGATCCCAATTAGTCGGCTCCCTTGAGGCGTTCCGTTGCCAGATGGTGCCCCATTTGTGGAGCTAGCTTTATATTTTTGATAATATCGAGAATATTCATGTTGAAAACATTTTTTGTCAATATTTTCACGTAATTTTGATCAAATTCGAAGTGACGTCACAACAGATAGATTTAAACTGACGTTCGAATTCTAGAATTACAAAAGAACAAAGAATTTCAAATATCGCACATAAAATGACTTGACGGAACAAACATTTTTAAATATGGAATCGAAAATCACTAATCTTAGACTACTCGAGCACAGAAATGTAGTATTTTATAAGATACTACAAATTGTAAACGTAACTACTTCAAAGTTCTCAGCACATTAGTGTTGTGACACGCCCTGGATAGCAGGTTCGTATCCCAATTAGCGCGCCCTCCCCGTTACATACCGGGCGTGTTATTTGCGTTACACTAACATACATATAATTTACATTCACATACTTCATAGATACCACATTAGATCACTAACACGTTGCATCTCATTATTCAATCATTTAAATTTGCATGACATCTATTGTCATTGTGAAATAATGTATAACCTCTTTGGTATTTATTTGAACGTTGAATTTTAAAAAAAGAACTGTCAAACGTCGTTATGACAGATGAACATATTTGTACATCTCAATTGCTATTTTGTATAGTTTTCTATAGATGTATGTATAAAATACGTATGCTATATAATATATATGTATAGAGTATATATGTATACGTAATACACGAACGTTCGCCAAACACACTTTACCTAACTAGCGCTTGTGCTAACAAATGTTAAATATTCAAAAAGGCCAAATCTACACTTACAGTTTTACATTTTCTGGTGAAAAAAAAAAGAAAAATATATATAACAGCGCGTGAATGTGGAGCTGTTATCATTTCATCCGGGCTCGTAGAGCGATTTACATAAAATAATAAACGGGGCGGTCGCCACTAAAAAGCAGCTTTCTTTGCACGATAATCCCGGGATTGCTGGATCACGGGGCGCGGGATTGCGGCGTGTCCCGGGGGCCCGTTATCAAGTTATCAATTTGACGGACCCGGACCTTGTATTGTCTTGTATGACGAAATAATTATAGATCCTTTTTTTTTCGGGTTCTATGTTTGTTTTGGTTGTTTACGTATTGTCTGTGGTGTCTAAAAGTATATACGTGATTTATTTTTTTATTTTTTGGTTATCTAGCTGTGTTGCTTGTCAATATGATTCGAAATACTAGTATAGAACAAGACAAAAGTAGTGATGGATAGGTATTAAGTCACATAATAAGTGCTCGATTTACATATTTATATAATTTTTCTGTCATTCTGACACCATTTTTAACCTTCATCATTAAAAATATGAACAGGTTAATGTATAGTCAATGGAAATATCTCTGCTTTTAGCACAGTATGAGTTACAATGTCTGTGTGTTAAAAGGAGTGTAAACTGTAAAGGCAGTGACTCATGAACGCAACTCCGTGGGTCCGCTGCTCGCCTAATACACTTTTAATTTTGATTAATGACAAAGGCGTTCTAAATTCAAAATTAGGTCTTTAGCATTTTGTTTTCAGGTTGTCACCATAGAGGATTTATTTCATTATAATTATCTATTTTATTATGTATATGTACATAATGTATTGTTTATTTCGGCTTCTGTATTCCCCCTAATAATAAAATAAGCGTTCCGTTATCGCACATTCTGAAAGCAACTCCGCCCGGGTACTTTGGACCTGAATATCGTATTTCTCCCCGGGGTAAACTCCTACAAAACCATCTTGCCAACACTTTGATCTTGCGGCGGCATGCCTGTTCCGAGCAGTTTCGCTTTGAATATTCTTTTTAGTTCGAATTTTACACAATTGTTTTAAAGATTTTTAACTTGTTCTCATTTTTATATTTATATATATTAAATAATGGAAATAAATATAAATATATCATCGTCATGAAATTGTTTAATTTGGTGACAGTCATATTGCGGGACCACACCGGCTGCGACGGATATCCGGAACATCGAGTAAGTACGAAACAGAAATCTCGACTCGTATTGTCATTTGTATGTCACGTTTAGTTTTGAACACTATCAGCATGTAAATAGAATCGGTATTGGAACGTGTGAAATAAAGCCGTCGAAGAAATTACTCGCAAGATTCGCAAAGGACTAGGAGGCAATAAAGTCGTCGATTACCAGGAGAGCATAGCGTCGGGAGAGGGTTCAGACGGACGCGAGTTGGCTTCCTGTGCTTCCTCGCGGAAATAGGGCCCGTTCCGGTCGGCGGCTAATGGCGCGTGCCGTCGCTGTTATGAACTCCTGGTACTCTTGTTGGCTTCGTGACGTATTTTCGGTTTATTTTTTTTGGTCATTTTCTCCGTCACTTGCTATAAGTTCAGGTTAACAAGATTGAAAGAAAATCATCACCTTAGCACTAGCTTGCATTTAACTTTAAAACTAACAGTTTGAATTTATTCGATGTAACTTTGTATGTATAAACCAAATTAAAGCATTCTGTTAAAGTAGATAAAGGATACATCTATTACCTATCAGACACGAACTATAAGTAAATTAAAACTCGATATGAATCTGAAAGAAACATTGACAATACTCCTATAAAAGGATTTTTTTATATTTCATATTTTGTAAAAAAACAGATGATTTATGCTTTTTTTTGAATACATATTTTTCTCAAATGTGACCGTTTTTAGTTTTAAGCAATATTTTTTCCTTATTTACATATATAATATCGCAGTTGGCACCCCTGTAGTATGAAGTTCGATGTTAAAAGAGGTTATATATGTTGAAGTGTTGTATAGAGCGGTATAGAGCGCCGTGCCCCGGGCCGCGCCTCGTGAACGAGGTGCTGACGGTTCATACTGCGACCGACCGTCTTGATACTTTGATAATATATTTAAACTACGAACATATTTTTATTGTTATTAATAGTGTTCACTTATGATAATAGACAATTAATTCATATATGTGTGATATCATACAGAGTCGTAACAAAACCCCACCTTCAACCATCAAATATAATGCTACATTCCTTTCAAATGACAGCCCCCGCCCAGATGTTCCGTGGGGTCAAACCCCAGCGCGTCCTTATTACACGCTTCATACTCCAGCCCCGATCATATTTCGTGTTATTTATCATACTACTTTGGAACTGGCCATATTTTTGTGACATAAAAAAACTTTTTTTTAAATTTTCAATAATATTCCATTTTTAAATTTGTTAAACACAGAAGGATTAAATAATGAATATGACGTATTTCTCTATATAAATATTTTAGTATATGATATATTTGTGTATAGATCTATCTATATACATGGTTCACAGTTAGTTGAACGATCTAGTTTATCCCGTACTCTTCGATCTCTGTACCCCTCAGACACTTGACTATTTGGTCTGATAGTTCACACGCTGTGAACGCAATATATCGTATCTCAATTTATATGTACTATTAAACGTTCTTGACCAATATCTATATGTTTTTTTCGTACTTTATTTGTGATATTTATTTGATACGAAGTTTTAGTTTTACCTATAACTATGAAGATTTTCAGTGTAAGGTATTCTGTTGGATTGGCATGTTCTCACATTTACTGACTAGATAATGTGGATGTCAGGCCAGGTTGCGTCACGCGAGAAGATCTATCTGCGTTAGTTTAGCACAGAGTAAAATTAACCTTATATTTATGAAACGAAGGTCGTGAATCGTTTGAGATGATGTGCCGACTTAATAGGTGCTGCCGAGGCCAAGAGACAGATAAATATCGTTTGTACCGTTTGCATCTTCAGATTTGTAATACGAGTTTCACATTCGTTAAAACGTTAAAGTAACAGTGAAAGCTGCATTTTTGATAAAAAAATACAGAAATTATATACATATGTTATACTTTAATATATTTTATAGGATTTTTTATTTAATATGATTATTTAGTCGTTTTTCCGTAATCAATCAACAGACATACATACATACATACATTCTAAGCCCCTCTCAATAGCCTCCCCGTGTGATATAAGGTCAGTAATTTATCCCCTCATAATATATCCTGCCTTTTGTCACCTCGCTATTGTTCTTCCCGTGTAATTGACAGTCAGGTCCTTAGAAAATATGACGTCGAAAAATTGCTCTCCATATACAGAAATACTAAAATATGTTTGTTTGTTACGCCATAATGGCTGAAGTACTGGACATATTTTGATGAAATTTGGTACTATATTACATTGGATTTTGGAGAAGGATATAGGTTTATTAAACGCGGACAGAACCAGGGATAAAAGCTAGTTTTGATATTCAATAAATACAATTATATATCCGATACAGTAGGACTGCGGTAGATTTTTTACCACTCAATGGTAAACCTATTGTAGTCATGTTAACATAACATTTGAAACTAACATTATCACCCGGAATTACTTCCCACTATATAAAAACAAAGCACAATACTGTCAAGTTATTCAAATATTTAAGGTGATTAGTCCGGGCTGTAGTTTAAGCCGTTCGCCGGCCGTCATCTAATCTCTAAGTGAGACGGTAAACAGAAATCTTAAGGTATTTCATAGTGAATGAATAAAGTGGGAATCCGCTGGATTATGTGACTCCCGAGAATGTCAGGTATCGTGCCAAGTCGTGTACTAACTGGTCTTAATACACACTAATGTACTAGCTGATGTATTTTTTAATTGGACATATATTTTTTATATCGATTTCACACACACACTCAAATTTTAACACAATTTCGTTAAGAAATTGTCTTGTCATCTTAATAATGAATCAAGGTTTTTGCAAATTGCACTCTTCATCCACAAGGATCTGTATAGCAGAGTCTAATACATCCTGTGTGTAAAAGCTTAATATCCGTTTCCTGTCACTCTCAGACTCAACCTGGAGACTCGTTTTACGTTCAGCTTTTATCATACGCTTTAAGAACAGTGCATTTGATGTGTCATGATGAATTATTTACTTTATTTTAAAACTTATACATTACTGTATATATATTATGTGATGGTTATTATATTAAGAGTATTTTAAGTCCTGATTACTCAACTAAATTGCATTATAAAGTCCAAAGGACTGCAGTAACAATATTTAGCCGATACTTCGTCTGTACGTGACCTGATTCAAATATTACTCCTGTTAATGTATGAATTCTATCCAACTACGGATATCTTCTTCTACTTGCATTTAGTACTAGTTTACGTAAATACCGATAGTTCTAATACATTCAATATCTATACTTAGGTTAAAAAATCTATTACAAAGATATAATTATAAGTATTACAATCTAACTCCTATAGTATAAGATATTTAACATTTGGTTAACATTAAACTTAGCGGCACTTGTATGTAAATTGTTACAGAAAACCGCAGTATAAGCGAAAATTTTTAACATTAAAATTTAACACTGAATATTATTCTAGTTACAAATATGTATATGTATTACAACTGAAATAATTTGAAATCAACGGAATATAAGTAGTTGGAAACAGGAGTATTGCTGCAACGTTTTAATTAAGAATATTGAGGCTTATATGCGTTTCAATAAAAGGTTATATTATGAGTATGATACTTTTATAAAAACCGATGATTAACATATCACAATACGTGATGTTTGATTCGTACCTTAAGCTATGTTTATATGTAGATTTAATAAAATTTAATAAAGACCAGCCATAGACCGCCATAACGACGCTCTTGGCGTGCAAACAAGATATATGTGAATTGTGTAGTGAGCGCACGGCTTTAGAGAAATTCTCGCTTCATTCCGTCCGCGGGTTCGCACTTATACAGGGTGACTGGTGAATTACTATCAATATTTAAGGAGAATACTCGGTACATGATTCTCATTCGAATTATGTAAAAAAAATAGGTACTTAATTTTTAACCAAATTTCCGTATAAATAAATCAACACTTTGACACGTATCGATAGTAATTCACCAGTCACCCTGTATATCGCTGACACTCGCTTTTTGTGTTCGACTAAAAGTTTTATTTGTCTACGGTCAATGGTGCAAATTCATCCTACTGGTGCTATTGAGATATTAAATTAAATATTATATAAGTTTTTGTATTAAATACTATACTAATATATAGTATTTTCGTTAAGTTACAAAAGTAAACGGATGATCGTATATTATCTGTGCAAAAAATGACTTTATTCATATAATCAAAGTACATATTTAACAAACGTAGCTATATTCCATTCACTATACAATATTATTATTATCTATTTGAATAATATATATAATAGTTTAACAACTATGAACACTAGTATTATAATAATTCTATGTATTGTAGTTTTAAGCCCTAATGTGTACGCATCTATCACTCACGGACGTGTCATGGCCGACGTCTCGCCCTTCAAGGACGTAATGTTTACGAACTTGCCGCCATTTTGCATGTCATTATTTTTTTCCCTGAAATTTTAGATTTTTTACTAACAAACTATTGAAAAGTTTACATTAACAAATTGTGTTATTTTGATGACATGTAAAATTTAACAGATCATCATTAATCACTATTAATTTGACGTATAAGTTTGATGAAAAAATATTATTCGCACTTCACCCCTCAAATTCATACTCTGTGTACATATTTGGCGCCATTTGTTATTGTCATTAAATGTATGTATGTGTAAACAAAATACTGTTTCTTATAAATTGACGTATTAATCATTATTTATCATTGTGGCGATCGGTTTTTATAAAGAACGTTAGAAAAGATACATTAAATGTAATATTTATTTAGTATCCCACACCTAATATAGTGTAAATATACTAGAACATACTCCGAGACATGTTGCAATTTAGTGCTACGTATAGCATTGCTAATGTATAGTAACATTTATCACCCTATTTAAAAGTTCCGACACGGAAAAGGTCCGACGATAAAGAGGTAACAAGTAGTCGGATCAAGTTGGTAGCGATGTACGAACGTGTCCGGCTGACTACGGTCACAAATCTTCCATTTCACTCGTCCCCAGCATCCCGAGAGGAAATAGCACGCTCCAAAGCACGCGACTGCGTATCGGCTACTCCCGAAATAGCCCCCCGCGCGGGACGAGGCTCATCGACGTGCTTTTAGTATGCTGCGCGCATGCGACACGCCCGCACACTTCTGCGCTCCTAGTACAAAGCCGCGTAAACAACCGACGGATAAAAAATAAATGCATTATTAAAATGGTCGCCATCCTAGCGAACCCCAAGTGGAGCGAGGACCTCACCATCCAGATGATCATAGAGTACGAGAAACGGGAATATCTGTGGAACCCGGTGTCGGAGAACTACAAGAATAAAAAGATACGCGAACAGGGCTACGTGGAAATAATAAAAACGTTGAACCTAGTGGACATAACTGTTAAGGAGCTCAAGAATAAAATAAAGAACATACGCTCCTCGTACAGCGTCGAGTTGAAGAAGATTCGCGCGGCTCGGAAGGCCGGGGCGCATGCGTACCGGCCGAGCGTCACGTGGTTCGAACACGCAGACAGGTTCCTCCGGGCCATAGTCACCCCGAGCTCCGTAAGTGACATTTGATACAGACAGGCATGCGCGGTGCGTGCGACATTCAATACTGGCTCTCTTTGTTTTAGGTCGACAATAGCCTCCTCGAAATACCGATGAGCGACGACAGCGACGCCGTACAAGATCTCAGCGAGAGGAAGTCGCCGGAGAAGAAGAGTCCCAGGAAACGTCGCAGTTCAACGCGCTCGTCGACTCCATACGTCCTGAACACGCCGTCGCCCCGACCGAATACACCTTTCGGTCTCAACCAAACTCCGTCCCCATTCGGAATCCTTCCAACGTCAACCACCGCTCCCTTCTTGAATCCGCCCGTCGGTATAGCGACCCCGCTCACCACCTCGCTGGCTACCATATATCCAATACCCGCGAAACAGAAGAGGAGCTCTGACGATAGAAGCGACCAATCAGAAACCGCTCAAGACCTAAGCCAGCATTCGGAGAACGGGAATGAAAATGAATTTGAAATGTTCGGCAAACTGATTGCCAGCCAGTTAAGGAAGTTACCGCTCAGCCTGGCTTTGGATACACAGCTTAAAATACAGACGCTGGTGAACGCTGCTCGCATTCAAGCTGTTTACCAGCAGTACAGCTACGCCGGGCCGTCCCAGGAAGCTCTGTCGGTTCAAGCTCTTTCAAACGGGATACTAGCCAGCATGGCGTCTCAAAGCCCTTACGCGTGTCGAGCCGTCGACATGAGGAATGACTCCCCCGACGAAATGCAGAGGGAATTAAAGACAGAATACTCCGTGGGGTCCGAAATCGATGACTAAACAAGTCATTTCAAAAAACAGCTAGTCTTATTAAATTGTCGTCTAATGAGAATAATTCGACGATAAAAATATTTAGAACTGTAGAAAAAAAGATATTTACTTGTAAAATTTTTAAATGTTATAGATGTTACCTCAATGTGATAGATATTAACTGGAAGCGAGATTTTAACAACCAGTTGTTGAGATGCCAAAGTACAAATTACATTTAACAATTTCTAAGCATTTTATCTAGTCTATATTCCATTGGCTGTTCGTTTCGATCGCTCAAAATTTAAACAATTATTTGATGTGATTTTTTTAATATAATTTATTTTTATTTATACCTGTTTTGCGATATCTTAGAGTGTATCAAGGAGTCCGTATGAATATTTTATGAGTTTTTAATATAAAAAAAAATATATACGAATTTATTTATATTATAGATGTTAGTTGTGACGATGTGATTTTAATAGAAATACCTCATAGATTTAGATTTGATAGAATTATATTTTATCTGTTGTTCGTGCGGCGTTAAAATGAATGTGATTTATTGAAAATAAATATTTTATAAATGTCCCTGAATTATGTTTTTAATAATTATACCTTATAGTATTATTTAAAAAAAATCATAATTTATCACGCGGTGGAAATAGGCTGAACACTTTAATTCAAAGTACTTCATTAATTTAAAAAAAGAGAATATCTGAGCTCTTAAAACTTTTTATAACATATTTTTTATAATACATACAATGCATATATGTATACTTTTACTTAACTCGCCATTAGGGAGTAACGTACTTAAAATATATACAATATACCTATATTGTTGTTGTTGTTCTTAGTTGTAAAACAAGGTTTTGGATTATTACAGATATTAGATATTTACAAACTTTTTTAAATTAATTTATATCCAATACAACTAAGATAATATTGTTACACGACATATTATTAGTATTTATTTTTTACAATTCAATTTAATTTTCCCTAAACTATTAATGGTGGAACGAAAAATGAAAATGTTAAGCGCCCCTGTCTTGTAATATCAACATTTGCATAGTCGTAACATCTTGCGTTATCGCCAGATTGTTGGATATTTGTGATTCCATTATAGTAAGAACAAAAATAACTTCTCTATATACTTTACAGCAATATATACAACTATTATTATGTATTCTGTTTAATTCCTCTAAATTTGTTATTATTCTAAAACATGCACTTTTTCATCTGAAATTAATTGTAACAAATTTACTAAAAATAAAAAAAAATTAGTATATGTTTATGTGTCTTTCGGATATAAAAAATATTCCTAACTAACCAATGACGCTTCGCTTTTTTTGATCCACTTTTAGGTGATTGATGATTATCCGTTTGATTTCTTCATTATCAGAACCATACTAACTTGTATTTGACACTTTTAATGCGAAGTTGAATAAAAGTTATTTAGTTTTCTGAGGGGTAAAGATATGGTTATGCCAAACTAATATGGTTTAATACAGTTGGGCTTCATATAGACGCTTTTGACATTTGTGAATATTATCCAATAGAAAAGCAGCATTCTAAAAATATGATAAGGATTAATTTGTCATTTGAAAAATTGAGTTATCCTATTGGTCAATATTTATAGTTAAGTTCGCTATGATTTGTTGATTCATCAAGTTATATTTTGACAGCACTTAAGCTCGGAATTGTAATATTGATAGACTTTCAAACTGAATTTAGTGTTACTTAAGATTTTCGTCTCCTTTTTTTATTCGCCGTATGTTACTTTTTAATGGTTTATTTTAAGGTGTAACTTTCAAAATAACTAAAAAACTGGATAAATCGCCATCACTTATCGTTTACGTGAATCATCATTGGACAAAGATCGTAAATTCGTAGTAAATTTGTATGCGGTAGAAGTGGGAGCGAGAGGTGTAACAGCTAAATCTTTACAACCTACTTAAAGACGTAAAGAATTAACATCAATTCATTCTTAGGACGTACTTCGAAGGCAGCCCTATTAGGTTCGTTTCAAATTTGGTAGAGAGAGGAGCTTGTACAGTGGAGGTGAGCGTTTAACGCGTTAGATAGGGCCCCTTAAACCTACACCTGGGTCACAAGTCCCAGTCTCTGTTGAAGCTCCTCTCACTACAACGATGGACCTGACACACGCACCGTGAATACATTGAATGATGAGAGGTTTGGTTTGTCTCTCGGGAGTGTTATTTCTAAAAATATTTAACAAAATATTTTCAAATATATTTCGGTCATTTTAAAATTATAAGTACATATGTATTATTGTATGGTTAGACAAACTATTCTGTTAACGAAGCTTTACAATTTAACTGTTAATATTAATATCGGTATATGATTTTGTAATAGTTCTTCCAATAGCCCGTGTCGTTTCCAAAACGCGTCATTTGATAGCCGATTGGGAAATGACGCGAAACTAGCGGCCATTTGCATTTCGATTTAAAACCCTAAATACAGTTGGTTAAATGCATTTTGTGGGATTTAAATACATATATATGTATTTTTTTCATTTTGTTTTGACAAGTAATTTTCTTTAAAGTAATAATAATGTTATTACTTAGTTTAATTTATCGAAATTTTGGTTCGTTATATGAATGAAAACAAAATTTATGAAACAATTATGATTAAAGATAGACTTTCTTCATTTAAACACCGTGGAATTACATTCCAATATCAAAACTATTGAAATATGTTTAGGTTTTAAAAATATTTCGTTATTATTGAAGGCGGTTTAAAGGTTTTCATGACAAGATGAACGCCACTCTAACAAAAGACATTCTTTCGATGTTTATTATTCGAGAACAAATATATTGAATATAAAAACTAAAAAGTACTAAGTAAAGTCGGACAATATACTAAAATATATGTAAGAAATCTTAATTTTGACTTATTTATTTAAAAAAAATAGCCAGTTCTTGTCATTTCTTGTTTATTCTGAGGAATAGAGCCGCTTAATTCTTAATTATTAAGTGTAATCGTTACTTATAATATTTAGTATGTATAATAATCCTAATCTCTCTAAGTTGTATTGAAAAATAAATATTTCACATTTCTATATTATACATATATTTTCATGATATACCAGTGATGCAAAAAAAATATATCGTCACCAAAAAATATCCAGCCAAAAATGTGTCATTTATATTCCCCCTATTTTTCACTACTTAATTGAAATTTGTTCGGGTAACTTAGGTTCGGCGTGAGGAGAGATAGAGATATACTTGTTGTGTGAGTGCGAGCGGGATGGATGATAGGTGCTGCGGGACAACGGGCTACGTGGCTACAGCTTACATAGCTTACGACCGCGGGCGTTATAGTGCGACCGATTAGTATTGATACTTACTTTATATGTATTTATTATTAAAAATAAGGTACATGTAAAACTTTTCATATTGTATTTGATTGATTTATCAAGAGCAAGGAAAATGATAAATATTATCATATAACATCTTTGAATTAATGCACATCGGGAGACAAGTTTGAAATATTGTTAGGTATCACGCCAAGAAATTAAGGATATTAAGACATCTAGTTTCTTGGCAGCGACCTTAAAAAATTGCCTCTGCAGAGCTTCTGTAAGAGTCTGCTATTTTCTGCTAGAAATACTGACCATAAACATTAATAATATAAATAACAGCCATCCCACGCAATATTTTAAGCGATGGCCTCGCTGCGTACGTAGTGTGAGATTATTAAGTTAAGACATTAATACCATAACTATTGATATAACAATTCCCATAAAACCTTATGTATATGACCAGGCCATCTTAATTATATACAAAACTGAGGTTAAAACTATATAACATATATAATTAAACAACTATCTAAAACGAACAGGAACCACAAGCGTCCGAATAATTATCGCCATAACACCCACAAAACAGTAAACATGGCTTTGCACTGTTATATGGGGGTTTTAAACACCGCACCGCTAGTTTACATCGGCTCTTTATAATAATTGTCGATGCGGTCGCTGGCACCGATAAGGGATTACCCCACCGGGGGCTGTGGGGATCGCCCGGCCCGTGTCCCCAACACTACCTTTTTTCCTACTTACATTTTTACATGTATTAAATCATGAATTAAGATATTAAACTAGCTTCTTAGTCACAATTATAGATGTAGGAAATGATATAAATGTTAGTATTTTATTTATATTTGAGTCGTTCAGCCGAATTCATTTCAGTGGCTCCTGTATTCAGATACATATTAGAATAGTTCGTAGCATTGTATTGACCTCGAATAGTTATGTACCTACTTACAGTTCGAAATAGACTGTCAGGCATGACGTGATCACAAGTTCAAAAGACAATAAAGACTGTTATGTTCCACTGTTCAGAGCGACTACTATTTATGTATTATAAAATTGCTATAACAAATAAACAGGCGTTGCTAAAGTATATTTGCATAATAATCTTTAAAAATTTAATCCGAACATTAAAATTTTTCAGTAAGTGCGAAGTTTTAATAAAATTTTATCTTTTATATTTGAATAAAGCAGCGATTCTTCAATCAAGCAGCCCTACAGTCGCAGGCCGATAGAGCCATAACGAAACACAAAGCGTAGCGGCGCCCGGACAGAAACCAGTCCGAGCAAATTAAATATGTAGGAGGCGAGCGCACCCACGCTGTCAGGGATGTCATACCGAGTGCTGTTTATAATACATACAAATACATTTATATTGAGTATCGTATATACAACATGCGGAACCAAAGTCAAGAACAATGCGACCTTAATTCAATGATATTTTTGAACTGATTTTTTTCCTCATATAACATATTATCTAAAAATAAATAAATATGTAATAAATGAATAGAATTAGTAACATAGCCACAATAAAACATAAGTGATTTTTATCAATATAATATTATTTTTAATGTTGATTATATTAAAAATATTTATTAAATAAATTGTCATTACGTCACTTACATTAAATAAAATGTTCTTCTAAATATATTTTTATATAATAATATTGAATTAAACTATGTTAGTTACATCCCTAGACAGGAAACGAGGCTGGCGAGTGTGCCGTCATTAGAGGCGGCGTTAGCGACCCGCCGCCAGACATTTTTTATGCAGCCCGTAGGCCGGCTTTTTTCAACATCATATTGCGGACTGACGCAGCCCGGGATCGCTCTAATGATACTCACCTTTCCAGCCGTGCTGCTTATTACACCGACTCAGCCTTTGTACCTTTGGTATATTATCACGTTCACGTTATATATAAATGTTCATTAATATACGAATATACAGCCATTGAAATATTATGAATATAAAGTTCTAAGATTTATGATATGAAATCAAACATTTGGCTTGCTCATAATACTCCAAGGATATTGTCGGTGTCAGAAGCTAAGTGGCAGACAAGAATACATCGATATATAACTCTGAGGTTTTATAAATAAAACAATATTTAGCGTATTTTAAAGTGATTCCAAAGGTATTGCGTACTAAGAAGGTTCCTGTTACTAGAACTCTATTTTTGAATACATATTTAATAGAATAAGGTGGACTTTGATTTAAAGTTCTCACATATATGTCGAACAGAGTTAATTAACTAAAATAAATCAAATCGTAAACCTCCAAGTCCATAAAAAGACGTATCAAATTATTTTTAAATCAAAACGATCCACTCTGTATATTTTTTATATCGTTCTCGAAATTTAAGTTAATATCGTAAAAAATAATAACAAATAAAGGCAAGCATCAAAACCGTCTGATCCGAGTACGCGGCAGCCCATTAAAGCGCTCGGTGACAAGGTGACGCTCACCGCGGGGGCGCGATAACGCGGCCCGTATCCTGTCGTGTCGCTCGCTCGATATTACGTCACTATATATATGTGTAGGTGTAGTTATGATCGCCTGGTACTTTCACGTTAAGTGACTGTGAATCTCTCTTGATCACTCCTTTTTTATTTCCGAAGTATTTTCGGTTTTTGTGTATTTTGTGAGACATTTTTATATAAACCGATAAGTTTTATGTTTAAGAAATATATGAACGTGATAGTAAAATTTATATACATACTATATCTTGTACTACACGGAACATCTATTTATATACTTTACATATATGTTGTACATAGCTTGTATATGAAACTTTAATAATAATAATAATAATAAATTGTAAGTATTTAAGCAGTATACATATAATACATAGGTAGGTTTTAATATTAACTTTATATGAACATATTAAGTTCTGGGTATAATAATAATAAGAATAATATTTAATACAAGTATGAAAGCCGTCGGTCGCAGTATAAGGCCAGTCGTTGAGCACGCGACGAAACGGGCCAAGCCGACAGATCCCATGTCACGCCGCCCGCCACCGACACGGACGGGCTAGGGTTGAACATCACACACTTTTTATATTTATTATATTTTATATATTTTATTTTATAAATATATATACATTATAAGGCACGCGTTTGAGATTTAAATGTATGATAATTTAACAGAATACAAAACAATCAAAAAAACTATGTGTTTCTATTAATTTTAAATACTTTAAACAATTAAAAAAATATTAATATACTACAGTTCATAATTTTTACTTTATTCTTAAATAATTTTACTTATATTAAATAATAAAATATTTTTTGTAATTTGTATTTTGATATTACAGGGAGCGTAAGACTAATTAAGTCAATATATATATAAAGCACGTATTGTAGTAGGCGAGTCAGTAACCCTAATAAGTCAAACTGGTCCCTTTTCACCCGTTTGATCCGACTCAGAGCGCTCGTGCAGTTCGTCAAGGTTGGAGACGGTCTTTGATTTGTTTCTTATTGTCAGACAGACGGCAGTTTGTTGAGGGGTCCGTGATATATAACACTTTATGTTCAAAATTTAGGGTATTATTGGGAGAAATATCATTTTAAACTTGGACATTTCAGTGTCTGTATATTTCAATATAAGTTCCGTTAGATAACGAGCCTTGTTTTAAATAAATACAGCCTTTTAAATAAACATAGCCGTGTTTTCGTTTTATACATGCCAGTCGGAACACGCCGATCATTGATCCGACGAGATTAGAACACGTATCGACGAATAAAATTTGCTGTTCCAGGGAAATGTAGCAGAACGTTGGAAAAAAAATTGATGACGTCACAGAATTGTTTTCAATTATTTGTAAATGGAAATACATTGGTAGCTCAATTTAGTTATTGTTGTTATTATTGTCTAGTGTGTGTGTGTGTGTGTGTGTGTGTGTGTGTGTGTGTGTGTGTGTGTGTGTGTGTATGTGTGTGTGTGTGTGTGTGTGTGTGTGCGTGTGTCATCTGTTATAACAATATTAATATCACACAAACACTAAGCCGGTCCACAGTCGTGTTACAACATGACGTTGATACGGATTAGCGTCGCCCAATTTGTGATATAAACCACGTTTGTGCGTTGTTAGCGTTTGTAATTACTGCCGAAATCCCAATCATTAGTTACAGCATGAAAAGTACTTGAAAGAAAAATAGACTGTACCTCCGACATAATAAAGAATAGTTTAATGTGGTTTAAATGTATTTATGGTAATATAATCATATAGTTTACGTATGTAATGAAGGATAATTAAGATAAAAACTGAAATAGTGTCAGCCCTATAGTCAGACGTGTTGATGTCGGTCAAGTTGTGCACACACGCCCGTCCGGACCTTGTTTGGGGCCGAGACCGAGGCCTGGGCCGGGGCCTGATCCGGGGCCTGACCCGGGCCTATTTCGGGTCTTTTCTGGACAGACGGTGGTTGTGATTTTATATCATTTATTATTTACGAACTACTCTGCGGCTCCCGACATTTATAACTCACGTACAGACAACATTTTTTGTTCCTTCTTGATTCAACATCCTACTGGAAAAAAAAAATTCAATTCATGTACCAGGAAAACATAAAATTATTGGTATCTTCATGTATGGGGAAGTGTAATTTTTGAAGCGTTATATTTTTTCGATTTTCGATCGGTACTCGCCAGCCAGTATTTAAATTCTTTTTTCATAAACATTTATTCTAAGCAATTATAGTGTATCTTAGCTTGTCTTTCTATTCGCTGTAACTTGAATGTTTTGTTTTAAACATTACTTAAGTGATTAGGCTTCGAACAGACAGTCATTTATTATTATAATATTATTTTATAGTACGGAAAAGAATATTTTTTACTCAGCATCTTAATACTGACACAAAACAGAGCCAGCCGCGACAACGAAAAATATTTACTTAAAAAGTTTTAAAAGTTTTAAGCGAAACCACAAAAAAAGTCCGGAACGTGTTATGAAGGTTATAATGTTTTCGTGAGTTCGCATCTTTTGGTCAAAAGGACGGTCTCATAAATTTGTATAATTAGGTGAACTGGAGAGCTTTACTTATTGTGCTATGTTCTACTGTTCCCTTGGTTATATATTTCTATTATGTAAATTACCTTTACCTAACCTTACCTTAATAATAAAACTTGCTTTTGACAATCATAGTATGTATGTAATTATGGTATGTGTATGTTTGTGTGTAATTTTAAGTTCATTAGGCGTCGCCACAATCATCGCGCGTCGCTCGCTCTAATTAATGAGTAATTTTTATACGTAATCCTATAATAATTCACGAGCTCATTATAGAACTTTAAAAATAAACTGCATTTTAATGAATCACTGAATTATTATAATCTATGCATGATATCTTTGATTTTAGAAAGATATCATGCATAGATTATAATAAAACTTGGTTTACATAAGACGGATATAGAAAACTGTTTCGCAGATAGAAAATAATATCGCTTTCTCATTTATTAAAAAATTATTAAAAAGAAATTTATTAAAAAGAATTTGGTAATGATTGAAGCATCAAATCCTCATTATCGTTACCTACTTCATTTATTGATTCTTTATTAAAACTGTTCAGCGAAGACTTTGTGTTTTTAATTCCAATAAATACATTTATATATGTATTCTTAAATATCTTTAGATATATAAGAAACCATTCCGTTTTTATTTACTCCGTTAACGGTACTTTACGATTTGAATCTCCAACACCATTTTATAGTCGTATATAGTCGTTTACAGTCGTATATAGTCGTGTGTTCCTTTAACTGCGATCAGTTTAAACTTCATGTTGGTATCTAATTACCAGGAGATCATGAACGTACTGGTGGTATCTACATTTATAACATACGTCGCGTGTCTCAATACATCGCGTTCCCACTTCCTATACAATTACATTACAATCATACTCTCTAATTTATGTCGCCCTGGTATCGAAGGCTGCTCTGTAATCAAAATAAAAAAAAACAATATTCGGTATCTTTTGTTTTTCATACAGATTTATTTCTAGACTCATATGATATAAGTGTAGTCTAGTCTAGATTAGTCTAGACTAAGTATTTCGACACTTTCTATAGTAATAATGCTAGTTCTATAAGTGTATCCAAAAGTTGAGTATTAAATACCTGTACTGTTATGTATAAAGTATGTTATGTACTTTAAGTCTCAGCCGACACTCTCAGACCCTCTTCTAGTCTCATAATCCGAGGGTTCACTTGAAGACTTTCCTTATGTCCGTGTGTCATCAATATATAGACTTTATAACTTTCTATACAGCAGGAGGTTTTTAATCTTCTGTTGTATGTATATAATGATTTATCTTATATACCTATATTCTTATAATTTATAGTCACGGCAATACTATCGTGACATGCTCTAGGCCAGCACAATGTTCTGGAAACGTAATACAGTCAGTCTATTAACAAATACTATATTTGTTTTGATTTATGTACATATACTTAGTAACGATAATCACGTCAATACTTTTCTAGTTCATAGGTAATTTATGATGGTACTGAATCAAATATTTATTAAAAATATTGAAACTCTTATTTTTAATATCAATATTTATCGTTAAACTAAGAAGCCAGTGATCAAGAAAATTATACAAAATATATTTCACTATCATTATTATTAATGATAATTATAAGTTTTTGTTATATTTATTTAAAGCTTAAAATTCTCATTACCAAATGATAGAAAAATGACGTAATTTCCGGCATACAAAAAATCATATCTAAACTCAACATATTTCAATGCAATACTTGACTTATTTACATATCTTTTAATAATTTACTTCATAATAATTATTCTAATATTGTTAAACGACACAACAAATTAATATTACACGTTATATAATATACACTCAAACCTTTTTCGTCTATCATTCTATATGAAGCTTTTAATATTTAAGTATTATATATTATATAATATTTGAATATTTTTCTCGTTTTTAATATTTAACGAAAGTGATGATATTTATCGTAAGTCGCGGTTCCCCGAGAGCACAAGTTCCGAGCCACCTCGGGCACTAAGTACGAGCCGGATGACATATTTACTAACGACCCAGGGCTGTACACACACTACTAATAAATATATATTAAATCAATATTTTTTATTGATAATACTTTTAATATTTCTTAAATGTATCCTTTATTTATAATTGATATTTACAATAGAAATAAAGATGTCAATAAATAATTAATTTATTATAACTTTTTCTATTATTCTCCGCGGTGCCATCCCTGTTGTTGTGTCTGTGTGTGTGAAGTGTCGCCGACATCACCTGGGCTCGCAATTTTACGAGCAGCCCGTTGTCGGCCGCTTCTAGCTTTCACTAGGGATGGGGTTGATACACTGTATTAAAATTTATCGATAAATATTTATAATATTTCTTTTATTTTATTAAAAAAACTTTTATTTGCGAATCACATTAACAATGAACTCACTGAAAAGTCGAAATAAGTAATTAAAATTACGAGACTTTTTCCAAAAAAACTACGATTTGGCAGTATTGTGATTATATTCATATTATTTATAGCTTAAACAACACATTATATTTATATATATCATCGATACAATCCATCCCTAGTCTCTCTTCAGTTCTCGAGCCGTCGTCCCGGGCGAGGCGATGGAATTAAATCGCACGCACGACACTTCCGCCCTCCCCCCCTCCTCTACACACACACATACACATACACACAACACTAATACACACACACACACACACACACACACACGACACAGGGCTGACGCAACACACCTGATGTTATAAAGTAGTATACATACAATAAACGAATTATATTTTAGTACGCATGAGAATTAAATGTTTATTTACATATAAGTTTATAAAAATCAAAAATATATACATTACTTAACTTACTAAATATTCCTGGGGTGGAATAACTCAGTTTATCCATGAGGTCGCGTCATATAAACATCTTGGAGTCGATTAATTCACATCTCAAAATATTATTCAATAAGTGTGAAGTGTCAACCCTGAGTGTTGAAGTCCTTAGACGTCGTCAGGGAATGTTGTCAAAGTATGTACTGGAAGAAATTACATCAATTAGACTATTGTATAGCATCCAACTGAAATATTATATACAATATATATTTATAAATATTATAGAATAATACATAAAAATAATAAATTCGATCGAAGAATTTTATGAAACATAAATGAAATCTGTTAATATTGTAATTTCATATTAATGTATGTTTAATTTTTATTCGATATAATTCATTTGTTTTGTCGTCAGAACACCAAAAAGTTTCATAGAAAAAGAGGTTACATGTTGAAATACACTAAAGACTCGTTTTCGATGTATTTTTATATTTAAAAAGCTACATAGTTCATATATATTAATAAAGATTCGTGTTTGGTGTGAATCGTATTTTATAATATAAAGGAAAACGTGTCTTACAACATCACGGACTCGGAAACTGTATTTTTACTACTTTTAATTTACTTTCACACTCACAGTCTTAATATGACTATCAGTGTTAACTATTCAAGTTAGTATTAAGGGTTCTTTACTCGGTTTACATTCGCAAGACTTATGTATGCTTTTTTAATTTTTCTTCGTGTAAAAGACATTAATTTGTTACGTATCTAAATCTAAATATAGTGTCAATAGTTTATTTTCATATTACCTAGACTTAAACTATAGCCACAAGCGCTTCAGCGCTTAGCGGTTGCGGTGTATGCGGGCGTGACCGCTGCATTGGTTGCGAGTATGACGTCACGGAACATAAAACCACCGGCTTTTAATAATAATTGAAGTTGTATCTTATTTGATATATAATTATTAACTTAACAAAGGAAATTAGACTTTTTTACTTTTAATTATATTTGGAATAGGTTGACAGCTGTCAAAAATGTTCTGTCACTTCGTATTTAAGTTTTGACGTAAGATTTATGTCATATACTTGAATATTTAATATTGATATTAAGTCATAATAAATAACAATAAATCACAATATTTTATGTTATATTAGTGTAATAATATTTAGTTGTTCAGTATACAGATAAACCTATCAAAAGCTGATGACCATCTGACCCTTGAACGCTACAGCGCTTAGAGTGCGGTTGCGGTCAGATACAATATGCGGGCGGGAAACGTTTGACAGTTGACAGTTTTTATTCTATGTTTTTTTTTATATAAAAGTTCAATGAATGTGTTTTTAAACTAAAATAGATATTGAAATATATAATAAATTAATACTATTTAACTTTTAAAACTTATTTTTAGTGTTTAATAAATATAAAATGAAAATAATTGACAATATGTAATCAACATAAACAAAAAACTTTTTAGTTTCAAAACGTCAATCCATGCAGACAAGTCACGTAGACAGAGTGAATATATTATTTGTTACACAGATTCACAAAAAACTATGATCAAGCAACAAACAGCCAAGACTTCAAAGAGGTTCCACATAATATATATGAAGATGTATATTGAGACTCATTAAGACACATTCAAATATGAACGGAGATGTTTCCTTGGTAAATATATTTATAACAGATTACACACTGAAGTTTATTGAAATATTATGTTTTAAATTATCAATTATTGATTATCTGTGTATGACGTATGTTATTATCTTTTACTTAAAAGTTATGTTTTGACAAATAATCGTATATTGACAAAAAAAAACTAGAACTGTTTTTGACCGATTTATATCTACAAGTATATTTTGTAAATGTTATTTTTATTATATAATTTATAATAGTTGTTATATAACGTTATATTATATAGAGGTGTAGTTCGCTGATGAGTTGTCATGACGATTGACATACGACTACAAATCATGGCCCTTGGAGGGAGCTGTCAGCTAGCATGATATATAGGGATGGGAAAATTAAAGGAATATCGATATCGATAATTATACTAAACTTTAAGAAGTTACGAATTTTATTATATATTTATTAATGTTCTAAATAAATAGTACATAGTTTATCAATATACTGTTGAGCTATTTTCTGTAACTTCATATATGTGAAATATTTTCAAATAGTTGCATTTTTTTTAAGTATGAAAAAGGAAACCCACAAGAGAGGTCGAACATTTATAAACGATAAATAAAAAAATGATTTTTTTTATACCTCGCTGTAATATTGGTTACTTATGATGTCTCATATTATGTTTAAGAAAACTCATTGTTGCCAAAATACATACATATATACATTAATCAGAATATCGTACTGTAAATAGTTTATAATTTATCCTGAAATTCCTTCTAATTCCCTAGAAAGCACGTCACAACTTGTCTTTTCCTAAATACCCTTTTCAAGCCCAATTTGGATGTGTTAACCAACGATCCGAGCGAAAGTTAGTAAATTATTTCTATACATTCTCTTTCTTTCCATTTCGACTACATTATTGTAAACATGAATAAGTTTCGTAGTTATAACACTGACGAGTAACAGACGTACATACATCTCGTTAATATGAGTAAGAACTTGCCGTTTTTTATATATAGTAAAATCTGTTGGTATCCGTTGGGGCTTGTGATCGTTTTTCACGACTGAGACGTCACGATGGAAGCGACGCTCAGCTGACAACGAGATGGAGCACTAGTGATGGGACACGTATTAAAAGATATATCGATGAAATAATATAAATTATACTCAGACTACTATCATGCTGTCTACAGTTTGTTGCAAGTTTCTTAGCCCTATTTTCATATTTCAAATTATCTTCATAACGTCAAAAGATTTTCGTAAAGAAAATGGTTTATTTCAAACTAAATATTAAATATAAAATATGAATTGTTAATTTATATATATATGTATATATATATATATATCGGTATATCTACTTGTAATGCGATCCCTGTCTGTAATGTTGTGTGGTGTCGGTGACAGCCCTGAGCGGGCGGCGGCGGGTGGCGGCGGGCGGGGGGGTGGCGGGGTGGAGGGGGGAGGTGATCGCTGGCACGCGGAGAGACCAAACGACAGCTGATTAATGCGCGGCAAGCGATACTAGGGAGGGGACATATTAAAACGATTCATATTATTTTTATAAATTATTTTTTTATTTTAGTATATATTAATTATTTTTTTTATATATTGCTGTGGCGTTACAGAGTTGCCTTTGGTAGCTTAATCCTTGATAAAAATGATTGTGTCATTTGTTTTAAAGCATTGATAGTTTATTTCCAACTTAATATAAGTCCTAAGACAATTAATAAGGTTTAATATCACCAACTATAGTGACATTTTAAATTTAACCGATTCTCTTTATCGATATCTTACGGTGCGTCACATCACTAGCACCGGAGCTGTATCAGCGCGTCGAACTCTCTCCGGCGGATCATTACCGACGCGGCCGACCAGAAACGTCGATACTTCGCAGCTACATCACTATTTAATGATGATGACATTATGAAGTAGTTCTGATAATGGCGCGCCGGATTGTAACCACTTGTGTATTGTATTCACAAAAATAACTCACAATACATACTACGATATATAATTATTACATAATAATAAGAAAATACAAGTTTCGTCATATTTAAGTTCAACAAAGTTAATTTTTCTTCTATCGTTAAAAGACCTGTTGCTGTAGTGTTCTCTAAATTAAATACATATATATTTTATAAGTCGCGTTCATTTTTAAATGTTACATTTATAAAAAAGATTTTCATATTGACAATAAGATATCAAATTTATTTTCTATATATACATACAGCAATACTTCAAAGCACGATAATATTAATTGAAATCTATTTTATAAGGTCATTCCATATAGTTTATTAATATCCAGGTGTATTTTGTTCTGTAACAGCTGGACTCGTTTCCATTTCCAGGTGTTATTCTGATATATCTTTCTCTCCAGCTTGTGGTTCTCGGTGATAAAAAAAAACTTCCTACATTACGGTGTTGTAAATGTAAAAACTTTTTTATACATTAAAATGTTTTCGTAGAATAAAGTTTTCTAAAAATATATTTTATTTAATAAAAATCTTTTAGTGTCATAGTAAGTACACATATAATATTTTCTAAATATTTAATATCATTTATGATTTATGGCGTCACTCATTCACAATATGGAGACTTAATAAAAAATATTTTTTCTATGTAGTATGTTAGAACTACATTTATTAATTAGAAATAAGTTGAATTTAAATTTAATATATTTAACGAACATATAGATAAAACTAAAGAAAATATATTTATATTAAGAAAAATATAAAATATTTCTATCACTTCTCGTACGTCATGATCATTAGCCTCGCGTCTGTTTGATGATTGTGTTTTATGGCGGCCATATTGCGACGAGTTCACACTTGCAGCCAACGGAATATACAGCATAAATGATAAAATATAAGAATATTATCATATATTAAAACAAAATAAAAAAACTTATAAAAATAAATTACGATTTAGATATATGTATATATCAAGTAATTACTAAACATTAGTTCCCTCCAAAGTGTTGTAATTACGGCGGCCATTATCGCGGCCCCCGTATAAGCGGTCAAGCTCGTTGCATCGTTTGATACGTTATTATGGTTTGCGTGCGATTTGCAGAACTCGAATTTATACAATACTGATTCCTAACTGTGTTATGGTTAGCTTTAATGACAGACGTGTCCATTTGTACGCGATGATAAACATATATTATGTACAAATGTAATTTCTTTTGATCTTTTTAAAACTATCCTTAACATAATAATTAATAAGTAATCGAGAACAAATTCGGAGTAAATATTAAAGAAAATAGTATTTAGTTCTCATTACATTATTCTCTGTTAGAGGTAAGATATTTTGTAAGGTTGATATTTTATAAAATGTAAGGTTAAAACGTATTTTTTCTTTATTTTCGTTAGGTCTCAAACTTTGTGCTTTCAAATTGTAGATAAAACATTAATAAAAGAGATAACACAGATCTCTCTAGCGGCGAATAGCAAAAGCAAGTTAGATTTCCTAATCATTAAGAGATGGCGCTTGGGATATATATTTTTTCTTCATTAAAAAAGTCCTCGCCGCTTACGTTTTATGACAATATATTTGAAATTAAATGACACATACTCAATAATAAAATATTTGTTTCAGAATGCACCAAATCAAGAACCTGTGTATCGGAAGGTGGCGATAGTAGAAAATTTCTTCGATATCATCTATACTGTGCACGTCGAACTTGAAGGAAGACCAGGAAAACACGCTGGACAGAAACGCACATATCGAACCGTAAGTAAACACTATTTTTATATTAAAAATATAAATTAATAGTTAATATTGAAGCTGTAAAATATTGCCATCTAGCGGATAAAGTTTGCAACTGTTTCTTCTCGGCCTACGTACTGGGGCGGTCATTTTCTGTTTACATAGCCTATTTTAAAGATGGCAGCACCAGTTTCACAAATTTGAAGTATAGTGTTTCAAATTAAGTTAAAACACTGATTCTTTTTGTATTTTGGCATTTTCTGTTGAAATAAAAAACATCCTGACAGAAGCTTTGTCATAAATGAATTATATTTTGAGATTTTCGATTTCAAGGATATTGAATAAATACAGAACACGACATGTCTTATTTGTTTACCATTTTATTTTATACTTTTTTCAACCTAAAAATGCAAGCTTTTTCCCAAAAAATATTAACGAACGGCAAGTAATTTATTCTAGTTCTAATGAAAGTCAACGTCTGATGGAAATAGTGAAAGCCTATAAAGAGTCAAAATTACACAAATTACAATAAGGCATTGACACAAAAGATAAGTAAATTTTACTAAACGAAAGTTCGCTGTAGAAAAAAAATATAATCAAAAATGATTTCTTGTTTCATATAAGGTTTAAAGAATTTATTCTCAAAAAGACATAGTCACTTAAGTGAGAACATATATACAAAAGTAAAAACACAAAAGTAGTCGCCAGATTATTTGGAACTCAATTAAAGTTAGTAAGATATTATTACAAGTGTGTTGGTATATCAATTATTTATTATTTATTTATTTTCTAAAATATGTTGTGCAAGTTGAGATTTAAATTCATATACTGAAACGAATTGACATAATTACTTCTACGTCATATAAATGCATGTTTGAGTTTTCCGTTTCTAACTAGCTAGAACATATTCAGATTTCGTGTATTCAAATGCTCGAAAAATACTGATAATTCTTAGGAATATGTGAATATTTGATATATTTAAAACGTATCCATTTACCGTAAGACTGAAAATGTCAGTAACATCAGTATTATTTGTCTACAGATAACTGAAACATACGCGTTTCTACCGCGCGAGGCTGTCACACGTTTCTTGACGGGTTGTGCGGAGTGTGCTCGCCGGCCGAGGAGCGCCTCCCCTCCCCCCCTGCCGACTCCTTCCCCCTCACCCACAAGACATCCCACATACCTACCCTTCATACCACACTGTGCACCAGACTACACCAGGAACTGGGAATCAGAGATAGACGCAGCCCAAAACTATTCCTATGAACCAAAATTCGACTACACAGACCTACAGCCATTGAGAAAACCGGAGAGTCCGAAACATATCGATGAAGAAGAACCTACTTATATAGAATTGACATCAAAGAAGAGCAACGGATTCGATGCGACAACAATCTTTAACAGAAGTTCTTCAGTCGAACCATTCAGAGAAGAGGAACCGGTCCGCTCCGACCCAGAAATAGACAAAGATGACAGCGTCATTGACGTAGAAGATGTTAGGCCGGAGAGTCCACAGGCCGTCACAGAACAGAAGAAAGAAGAAGAACAAAAGCAGGAACAAATACAAGACATCAAAACGGTAGAAGAAAACCAGCTTGAAAAGACTGAGTGTAAACGAGAGAAAAAATATAATCCTTTAGACGTTGCTAACTTAACGTCAAAAGATCCACCGAAATCGAGGTCTCCGCCGCGGAAAAAGCTGCTGCCTACAGCTTTAGATGGAGCTCATTACTATGGAAGATATCCCAAGCCTTGGAGACCGGACACCAGCTTGTGTTATGGAGATGACATCGACTACAGCGTGCCCATCACTACGGCGTACTTGAAACATATTAAGATGAACTACCAAGAGAGTTTGGAAGATAAGGTGAGTTATAGACATAAAATTTCTTTATTCTCAGCTAAGAAATCATTTCTTGAAATACCAAAATCGAATACGTAAATCTAAATGTATCTTCCTGGACTTTTTCGAAGATCTAAGTCCACTTATGACGTAATAACCAAGGTTTTACTTACGTCCGACATGAAATTAAATAAATTCTAATCCTTCTTAATCCATTTTGTATGTCATCATATTATTTATACATTTTAAACAATGGCGATATCCTGAGATATTATAATTGTCATTAAATATGATTTTCGTTCAAAGCTGGTATCATTGTTAAGTGTTATTCAATAGGAATCCTTCAAATATTACCGCTACATCTCTGCATTGTTTCCTTCATTGTTGAAGATGGTGCTCCCAAAGAGATTTCTTCCTTGAATGGATCAGTTCCCAAATATGTCCGACTGTCTATATATAAGATAACATAAATATTCCCTACATCAAGCCACACTAGTAAAACTCATATTCCCTACGCCTTTTCACGGCTCATAACCACAAACGTATTTTTCTCCATACAAATATTTAGTAAAGTAAACATAATACGAATTCGCGGACGGGTTTAACCCTAGCTTTAACTTTCTGAACTAAACGGCCAAAGCCGGCGGTCTGTTCGACCCACAAACGCGCCTTTGTGAAACTACGTACCCCTTGTTATGATTACAGAACTCTACTCGATATGTATCAAAATTGTACGAATATTTACGACGAAATTCTCTTTGTATGGCTTTCCTACGTTACGTATTTAAAACTTTCGTGACATTTAAATGCATTTGTGAAAAAGAAAACATATGATAAGAAAACTAAATGAGTGTATTGAAAATCATGTCCTTTAAATTTGTTATCTTCAATAAAATGTCATATATTTATCAACTATAATAATAACCATTATTATAATCTACGTTTTGTTGTTTCTATTAAACCTAAAAGTCACGAATGTAACTTCTTGAGACTTAATTGACAAAATTTATTTTCTAATTTATTGTCTATCACTCGTATATAATTTTAAATAAAACCCAGTAATCACGTGTAATAATCCCGGGAGGTGAGTTAGATGGAGTGACGGCCAGCTCTGACGGATTCCGTCTATATCTATCGAATGTTTTCAACGGAAGTACGTAATTTATATAGGATTGTACCTGACAAGTAACAGTGAGACCGCCCTTGCGACCGATTGATTCGGAATGTCCCACACAAAAGGACGTTACGCCATAATCGGGCGCCGCATCTTTTCTAACTCATTTTTCTCCGCTTGAGGCGAGGGTGGAGGGTGGCTGGTGGCTGGTGGCCGGCTCTCATCAGTGGGGGCGTCACGGTATTAGAGAAGACACAAAAACGATGCCCGACGGAGAACTGAGCAAGTAGAATTTCTGAACGTTTTTTGCTATAGGTTCTCGCTACGACGATAATGTTTGTTTCAAATTATATAACGTGTTTTATGACACATATCCCGCTCGTTAATACATAACCATACTGACGGATTATGTATAGCACTTTAATATATTATACCGTAGATTTAAATTATAATGAAAATAACTACATATGAATTGTCGAAATACAATCTATTAAAATAAGATATTAAGTTAAATCGTCCTTCTCTTCACTATGAAAGACGTTTGATATACAAATGTATATAGTACATTAATCACAAACATTACACCCTCGGTAATATTCCTCAGTTTAGGTCCAACCTTTTCTGGCGAGCCGCTCCTAAGGGTCACTACAGGCCGTAAGAGGGTAGGATCCCTTCGCCCCCAAAAGTGCCTGTCCCCCTTCACTGCGACTTGTAAGATTGATTGGGGCTCCTTCAGTCCATTGCCGGCGCCCCCCTGCGGGTTACTCGACCCTCCCTACTTTTTTTCTCTGATTCTATCGCCGTGGATTTACACAGACTAGATGGATTATGATGTACACTCTCGATGATGCGAGCATATTATGGAAATACTCCAATATTACGTATCTTCTACTTACATAATCCGTAAATTATATATCTTTAAATGTTTCTCTATGTTTGAAAGCATGGAAATTCTTTCTTTCCGTATATAAATATGAATTAATTAATCTTTCTTTTATAGAAATAGAATTAGCTTTTGAATGTGAACACAATTATCTATTTTTCATAGTTTAAAAATTAAATTTAATGATAATTATTTGTTAGATTTGTTGTCTATATTCTATTTAAATCGTGAAATACTTATACATAAGAGTTATTCATACATTTATGTATATTAACCTTTCAAACATAGTCTAAATATAATGAATGATAAGTCTTAAAGCTTTTAAAAGTAATAAACATCTACCAAAATGTATATTAAATGTTATATATAAAATCTTCTACTCTAGCCACATCCAGTACATTGCTCTAGGTTCGTTTCCTTCATCACTGCCTGTTTGTTAATACCAAGCGGCTATTTTATTCGCGGGCCAGTTGCGGCGTGCGACTGCTTTGATGTCACAGATTAGAAGTTTGTTTAATTCCAGCCAGTGTGTTATTGTTACAAATTACAATTCTTCCTATATACATTTATTTGTACTACTGTATTTTCGATATAGTTTGTTAATCTATGTACATGATTGAGCAATTACCTCATCAATCTATCAATCGTCGCATCAATCTATTCAATATATTTTTGAATGCACTCCCTCCGACCTTGAACGCTGACATAATTACTTTGTCGCGATCGATTTTGTTTTGCAAGGGTCCCTTTCGACCCCTCGCTATTTTAGGGTTAGTGTATCAATAACAATTTTAAACCTTACTTAATAGTCATAAGACTTAAAATAAAGTACTTAGCTAGTAATTTGTTTTAAAGTTTTCAAAGTCGACATTGACCTATATAAAAACAACAATTATTTAGTATTTTATCATTGATTTTGTTTTTATAATTTGAAAATAATTTAGTTTAAGGATTTATTATCTTTTATTTCTAGAATTCTGATATTAAAATTATCTCTTTGTTTATAACTGGAAAACTAAAAAGTATGTATATGTTTGAGACTTTTTATTTACATTTATTATGGTAAACCGATTTCTAATGAATTGCCAATTGTAAAAACTATTTTGAGTAAAGCGAGCGAAGCGAACGGAACGCTTTACTGGTGACTCAAGTTTTTCATCTACAGAGATGATCTTGACAACCGAATGTCTCATCTATTTAAGGTTTTTTATTCGATAACCAATTAAACAAGGTGGTTTTTATTAACAAAAACTTTAATCGGACTACCAGTTTTCATTTTAGGGCCGGAAAACGGAACCCATGTCAAAAAAAAACGGTTCCGTACTGAAACACTGAGGTCGCTTCACTCAAATCGCACCAAGAGTTTTTTTTGGATCAAAGCGAGATAAAAATCGAAGTTGTATCTTCTAGTACCATATAAAATTTGCATTTGGATTTTGCAGATATAAAAATTTTGTTTGTGAGCATATTTTTTTTACATGTCTAGTAAAGACTAAAACATAATCTGACGTACCTACTTATGCGTCAATATTAAAAATAAAATGTTATTTTGTGATTTTTATGTGTGAAGACTGAAGATTTTCTACTAGCAAAGTCTAAATTATAAGAAAATTTAGTATTGCCAGTAATGAAATATGAATAAGTGTGTTGTTGTACGAGTATTTCATGAACACGTTGCTGTAAACAGATGATTTGATGGCAGTCGGGTTTGATTTGAAAGCACTTTATATCGCCTGCATTCTATCAAATGATGTTTCATTAATTCTCGGTACATGATCTGGTATTTCGGCTCGTTTATAAAATGGCGGATACAAACCACCTTAAGGAGCGGGTGGGAGCCCCCTTGCTACCAGGCGAGCATAGCTTACTGAGAATTTTAACGGAATTAGTCGTTGCCGCCTGCAGGGCGCCGCAGTAACTCACCGCATACGGTCTCCCACACGCACGCTCCTATTGCTTCAACATAAGGTCCATAATGGAATCGTTTAGTAATTTCGCCCACCGTACACCCCCACCCCCTCGCCTAGTTTTAGCGCCTAGTAACTCGCGAGGTGTCTACACGCAACGGAATTAACCAACCGAAAATAAGGGTAACAGACTTAAAAGAGGTTCGCGGTTCGAATGAAAATTTTGTGATGTTCCTACATATATAGCTTACCGTTATATGTTTATGTTTAAGCTGTTACAGACTATATATAAACTATATATGTAAAGCTTATATAAAGTAACGAGTGAGCTATAATGGCTTTTATGTGAAGTGATTATCAGTTGTTTTAGCTTCTACAGAATATATAAATATATCTGAAATTCTGATTGAAAAATTGTTATATCTTTGTTGATAATGAATGTAATTAATATTTCTGTTATTTAATGTACGTATGTACGTGTGTAAGCGGCATTATTCTGAAGTAAAATCAATTTTAAAGTAAAAAAGCTTGATTAGGTCGACATGTCACGAAGGGTATTTTAGTGCTTGGTTTTTTATTTACCGCCATTGTAGCCCTTCGTGTGGCCTATATAGCAGGCAGGGGAATTTGAACTCAAACACCCAGTATTTAGGTTGAGATCAGTCTGGGTCATCGAATGTAATTATGCATTGAGCTACAGTCACTATGTTTATTTTAAATCCATAGAATCAACTTAATTAGGATTTAAAAAGATTTTAAGATGACTGTCATACATTCAGACAGAAGTTGACGAGGCTTAATTAAAAATATATATTAATATAAATTTTCCATATCTTTTTACATGTGTAACCTGATTTAATTTTTAATCTAAACATCGAAATCATTCATCTAGATGGTCTAGATTAAAGGTATAGATTTGTGGCGGACAAAAATCAGATTCCATCGGGTTCCGTGTCTCAATAAATGTTTAAAGGGCGCGTAAATCATTACTCTACGTAGTAAGTACCCAGCGCGACACGGAGCTACAATATTTGGATATGACATTTTATTTAAATATATATCATGATGTAAATGACGACTAAAATCATTATTTTCCAAATATGATTTTTTTATCTTGTCC